GAGGACAGAGTGCAGCTCTGGAGGCACAGGCAGAAAATATGCAAGACTGGAGCGAGGAGTGGTGAATGGCACTGAGGCTAGACAACTTAGCCTTCGCAATGTTGTTGTTTTTAAATCTATTTACTTACTTAAAAGTCATAGTTACAGAGAGGGGGAGGCAGAGGCACACACACATGCACTGAGAGAATGAGGAGAGAGATTGGGAGAGGGGCATATGGAGGGAGGGAAGGAGGAAGGGGGATTGAGAGAGAGCGAGAGGTTTTGCTCTGCTGATTCACTCCTCAAATGGCTGCAATGTACAGAGCTGGGCCAGGCCAAAGCCAGGAGCCAGGCGTTTCATCTAGGTCTCCAGTGTGGGTGCAGGCGTCCAAGTACTTGGGAGGTCTTCTGTTGCTTTGCCAGGATATTAGCAGGGAGCTGCATCAGAAGTAGTGCAGCCAGGATTCCAACTGGCACTCACAAAGAATGCCAGCATCACAGATGGGTGCTTAACCCATTGCTCCACGGTGCTGATTTGATCTATAGGTGATCAGTTAGAAATGAAACTCAGCAATTATCCTGTTCTGTTTTTCTGATTTCCAGTCATATCTAAGAAAGATGACTCTTAAAGTTTTTCTTTGTCTGCTCAGGTCATATAATTTTTAAAGTTGGTTGTTTTGTTTCAGTAATCAGTTTGGAATGCAACTCAGCAGTTTTTAATGAGATCACATCAGCTCTAAGAATACTGGGGGGAAAAAAACCCATTTTTTTTGGAAGGGAGTTTTAATATTCATAGGATCCACTCAAAAAAGCAAATATATGGGGCCCGGCGGTGTGGCCTAGTGGCTAAAGTCCTCACCTTGCACGCACCGGGATCCCATATGGGTGCTGGTTCTAATCCCGGCAGCTCCACTTCCCATCCAGCTCCCTGCTTGTGGCCTGGGAAAGCAGTTGAGGACAGCCCAAAGCTTTGGGACCCTGCACCCGTGTGGGAGACCCGGAAGAAGTTCCTGGATCCTGGCTTCGGATTGGCATAGCATTGGCCATTGTGCTCACTTGGGGAGTGAATCATCAGACAGAAAATCTTCCTGTCTCTCCTCCTCTCTGTATATCTGACTTTCTAATAAATACATAAATCTTAAAAAAAAAAAGCAAACATATGCAGTCAGTAGGCATGCATCCTGCATCAAGTTTGCATCTTGGCGTTGGCTCTGGCTCCGCCTCCAGCTCCTGCTGATGCAGAATATGGGAGGCAGTGGTGATTGGGTCTCTGTCACTCACAGGAGAAACCTGGATTGAGTTCCTGGCTCCCAGCTTCAGCCGCAGGCCAGCCTGGGTGTTGTGGACATTTGAGGCATGAAGCAGCAGATAACACACACTCTCTCTTTGCTTCTCAAATACATTACAAAAATAAAGTAAAACAGAGTAAAATGGCTGCTTATTGTTGTAGGTGCTCTGCACGGACCTCCGAGGGCTCTGGTTTTCTCTCACCTTCTTCCTTCAATTCCCTGCATTTAGAGCTCTCCTGGGGCTCCTTAGCTGATACACATATATATTTGGATTCCAAAACATACTTGCAATGAGGTCATACCTCCCTATGTATCTCAGGGGAAAAAAACGTATTTGTCCTTCTCTGATTTTTTTGTTTGTTTGTTTTTGCCTAATGAGTTGCTTTCTTTCTGCTCCCTTGTCTACTGAAACCCTGTGCCTCTCATCCTATACCCTTTTCTTAAGATTTTATTTATTTTTTATTGGAAAGTCAGATATGCAGAGAGGAGAAGAGGCAGAGAGGAGGACCTTCCATTCAATGTTTCACTCCCCAAGTGGTCACAATGAGCGGAGCTGAGATGATCCAAAGCTAGGAGCCAGGAGCCTCTTCTGTGTCTCCCATGTGGGTGTAGGGTCCTAAGGATTGGGCCATCCTCACTTTCCCAGACCATAAGCATGGAACTGGCTACCACGCTGGGCCTCTATGCCCTTTTTTTGTGGTACACTAGGCAGTATAGATTATTGGTGAGAGCTCCAAGTTGAGAATCGTGAGATTAGGTTCCAATTCCAATTGGACCATAAATTAACCATGCAGCGGTCACTGTTTCAAAGTCTTGCTTTTGTTATCTGAAAAGTGGTGCTTGCATTAGTGAACTCACAAGTACTAAAATAAAAAAGTAATGAGAGCTCATGGGGATGTATTAGTTGATTTTAAAGAAAAGCAAGGTTAATGGTAATGAACTACAGCCACAGAAGATCACCATTATGTCCCAAGACTTGGTTCATGAGTTTTTAAAAAAGATTTGTTTATATTTATTAGAAAGGCAGATTTTATGGAGAGAAGGAAAGACAAAGAAAAAAAATCTTCCATCTGTTGCTTCATTTCCTAAATGGCTGCGATGACCAGAGCTGAGCCAATCTGAAACCAGGAACCAGGAGCCTCTTCTGGGTCTCCCATACGGATGCAGGGTCCCAAGGCTTTGGGCCATCCTCTGCTACTTTCCCAGGCTACAAGCAGGGAGCTGGAAGGGAAGTGAAGCAGTCAGGAAACAAATTGGTGCTCATCTGGCATGCTGTTACTTCAAGGGGGAGGATTAGCCAACTGAGCCATTACATTGGCTCCATGGTTCATGGTTTTAAGCCATAGAAATTATTTTTTTCTGATACCAGAGGTTGTCACACCTTGGCCCACTGTAAGCATACATAAAAGCTAAATTAGATACTGTAATGTCAATTTATGACAGTGCTTTCATGTTTAGGGCTATGCACTTGTTCTGGAATTCCTGAATCAGGAGAGTTTCCTTTGGATTTAGACCACCTTTCCAGTGAGGTTTCTCACACTTATGCAGCCTTCTCCAGAAACATTCCAGACCTACCACGGCTGCAGTGAATTTATCCATAAGACTGAGGCAGGTGTAGAATTGTCTGCTTACTCATTTACAATTGGAAAATGAGTATATGAACACTTATCACAGCCCTCACCTCTCAGTCTACATGGAGGACTTAATCACAATCATGAACCATTGCCTTTCTCATAGGCAAACACTATCCTAGATGCTTAATGCACTTAGCATCTGGGAGATCAGACCTTCCCTTGACGCTTGATAGACTAGTGCTAAGCAGCAAAATCCTAACTACAGATATTGGTGAGCTTGGAAGTAGAACAGTGGAAGTTGTGCTATGAAGGAAGGTGAGAGGGTCTGCTTAAGCAGTCGTGTCACTGCATGTGCTTGGCCATGTCCCATGAAGTTTTGCTTTGGGAAGTGCAATTTTCTTGGCTCAGGACGGCTGAGGAGTTCTGTCTCTGAAACTCCTTCCATAGGGTCTGTTTCCCCTTTCTGACTCCATCTCCAGCCCCTCTCCACTTGCCTGCTTCAGACACTTTTCATCTAGTCTCAGCCTGGACGGGAGTTCTTGGGATGCCCTTCTCTCTTATTTATTTATGTTTTGGTTCATTCTGTGCAGATTTTAGAGTTACATTCATGAAGGGAAAATTCTGTAGGAAACATCAAGCTCTGCTAGCTTAGGAGCACCTTATGACTGCGTGCTCCGTCAGATCAGCCAATCTGTGAAATGCAGAGGGATGGGGCTGCTAGGCCTGCTGGTTTCCTAGAGCGAGCAACAGTCAGCGCTGCCTATTTCCAAATCCATTTATGCTGATTGCACTCCACATTGCAGCTTTACGCTTTAATTATGAAAAGAGAATTATTGTATAAGAACTAATCTAAAAGCCTGGTGGCCACACAATATATGAAAATAATTAAAGATTGTGCTATTAAATATGACAATCAACATAGTAGGGGAAATGATAGATATTTAAGGCTTGTACTCTAAATTTTTACCTATGAAACACATGAAAACTGGAGATTGAGTATGTTTTAAACTGAGAACAGCAGAAAGCAATATTAAAAAGGATGGCATTATCCCTACACTTAAGGATTAATAGATAATGCATTTTTAAAAAGATTTGTTTATTTTTATTGGAAAGGTATATTTACAGAGAGACAGAGGGAAAGATCTTCTATCCACTGGTTCACTCACCAAGTGGCCACAATGACTGCACCTGAGCTGATCTGAAGCCAGGAGCCAGGAGCTTCTTCTGGATCTCCCACACAGGTGCAGGATCCCAAGACTTTGGGTCATCCTTGACTGTTTTCTCAGGCCACAAGCAGGGAGCTGGATAGGGGTACAAACCAACTCCCAAATGGGATTCTGGCTCATGCAAGGCAAGGACTTTAACCATTAATCTATCACACTGGGCCCTGCATATTTCTATAATATAAAAGAAAACAAGGTGTTTAATCTAGGTATCTAACTATAAGTTTTTATGGTTCCTTGTTTTAGCTGAGCTTTTTTGATATCATATCTAGAGGTCACAACAGAAAGAGCTTCGGGTGCAGTGTTGATGAATGAGAATAGCCACATGGTCATTGTAATGGCTATCACAGATGAAACTACAGCTTGCAACCAATATAGATTACAGTTGAAGTATAATATTAAATTTGCTTATGAATACAGAATTACAAATTATCTTCTAAAGCAACACACAGCAAATAGGCCATAATCAACATCTCTTTTTTTCTCTAAGCTCCCCTTGGGAAGTTTTTAAATTTGTAGTATCAACTCAAAGGAGCTTCTGCTGTGAATACATAACCATTTCATTTTGCTGTGGCCAGCAGAACTGCTGTATTTGCATGTGCTATGCTAGGTATTGTGCAGATGGTGGATTCTTTCTGTACCTTTGGATGTTATCTGGAGCAAAAGGGGGCCAACCATTTTCTTGCTTGATCAGGGGAACCTTTGATTAAAGAATACAGATACCAATGGCTTGAGTAAATACTACATCTGTTAAGTGGTGCTCAATTTTTAAAAAGTCTTTTACTAGCCACAATATACACATATTTTTAATCAGGGGCTCCGAAGTCATAGGTAACTCAGTGAATAATGGTTCTGCTAAGTGGTCACTCTGCCTTGCTCTGTTTCTGTGAGTTTTCTCTTGTTCTGCTCTTTGATCTGATAATCTCACCTTCCAGGTTCCAATGTCTACAAGGAGAAGAACCCTGTTGATTCCTACATTACTGAGTTGGGTTTCTGGTACCTATAAGCGCTCTCTCTCTCTATTTATTTATCTATTATTGGAAAGTCAGATATACAGAAAGGAGGAAACACATAGAGAAAGATCTTCTATCGAATGTTTCATTGCCAAAGTGGCCGCAACAGCTGGAGCTGAGCTGATGTGAAGTCAGGAGCCAGGAACTTCCTTTGGGTCTCCCATGTGGGTGCAGGATCCCAAGACTTTGGGTCATCCTCGATTGCTTTTCCAGGCCACAAGCAGGGAGCTGGATGGGAAGTGGGGCCTCCAGTGTACAAACTGACTCCCATATGGAATCCTGGTGTGTGCAAGGTGAGGACTTTAGCCACTAGGCTACTAAGCTGGGCCCAAGTTGTCTCTTTTAAGGAGGTCAGGAGTAAAGTTTAAATAACTTTTGGGTACATGGCATTATAGGAATCAAAGAGTTCAACTCCATTCACAAATTGCCTGTGGTGGCAATAAGAAACTCACAATTTCAGTGCTGAGAAGGCAGCAAAGAAAAACTAAAACAATTGTCCCTTAAATTTTTCCATAATAAATTTAAAATACATTTATTTGGAAAAATATCAAATGAATAATACATTAAACCTAGTGTAATTGAAAGACAATGGGAGAAACAGAAAAGAGCATTTTAATATTGAATATCAATTTCCATTAATAAATACAAGAATCAAATAGAAAATAACATTAAGTCAGATGTCTATTTTTTTTTTTTTGAAAAAACAGACATGATATTGCTGGTTATAATGACAAGAAATGAGTGATAGTATTTTAAATGAGTTATCTTTGGTCCATCATGCTCACTTCATGGTGTGAAGAAAACAGCACTTGAAAGATTTTTTTTCCTTAATTTATTCTAAATTACAGCAAAGTGCTCTGCAAGAAGCAAGTGCTTGTGTTAATTAACTGAGTAAAGAAGGTCACTGGTTTACACAGGGCTTAATCTGTGGTTTTAGTCATACATCTTTTTTTTGTTCTACAATTAGAATTCATCATTAGACAGTATAAACAAGTACAAATTTTTGTGTTTCCACCAGCAGTGAAGATTTGGATGAACTCGCTGATTCTTCCCTAAAAAAACTTAATATGCAGTAACAATAGTGGAACAATTACACAACATATTTATAAGTATGCTTAAACATTTGCCATTTTCTGAGCCTGAATACTCATATTACAGATAAAGTATAAAACTGCATATTAGCTATTGTATCTCACTTCAAATTTTGCAACACAAAGAGTATGAATTTCAGACACTTTGTATTGAATTGTAAACATAGAAATAAAAGTTTAAATGCTTGTGAGTAATCCAAAATGTAAAAAGTTCCACAAAGTTTTAGAGAACAGTCACCAGCCTAGTAAGTCTTTCTAAACTTGGTGTCATTCTTACATGCTTATGTCTAATGTTAAGTAACAAAAGCTTTAGTGTTTTAACCTAAGGAGTTATTTTTTATGTCTAAGAATGAGGAGAGCCACAAGATATGTTCAGGACATTGCTCCTACAGCGTATGATGTGATATTTAGTTTAAAATGAGATTGTTATGTAGGTTAATATTTGAATGACTTATACGATCAACAGCCCAGATTTATTTGCCTTTCCCAGTGGAGTCCGTCAGCAACTAGAAATCACTGCAAACAAGTTAGCTTTACATGGGCTTAGTCATAGTATAGCGAAAATAACATGGCTTTTTCTCTTGGGACTTAAAAATTAACTGCATAGAAATTTGACCCTTCTTTTCTTTGTTGTTAGCCCTAAACTAAAATCTTGTTCAAATAAAAACACAACAAAGAAAGCTAACTAGAGTTCTCACTCTTTAATAAATGCCACTTTCCATGGTCTCATTCGCCAGCTCTGATGGACCTGTCTAAATGCCACCCTTTAATTTCGGATTCTGTTGGTTTGGTGATTATTTGTAGCACATTGCATTGTACTTCTTGCTTAGATGTCTTCCCCCCTTGAGACTGAGTTCCTAGAAGGAAGAAATGGTGTTTTAATGACATTTCTATCTCTTCAAATATTCAATATTCCCTTGCAGTGAATGCGTTCAGAATCTTTTCTGCAAGTTGGAGAAAAGTACCAGAACTATAGTCATCAACATTTCTCTATCCCTTCTCTGTTTTCTTCAGCCTCTTGTAACCAGTGTTTAAAATTCTGAGATCAAATTTTCAGATTCTGGGTGTGAATGTGGTATTGCCTTCCTCTGCTTTGATTATTTTACTTAACATAATGACTTTCCATTCCATGCATGTTGCTGCAACTGACAAAACTTCATCATGTTGATGGCTGAATAATAACATTGTGAATGTATTTGTTTAACATTTTCTTTATGTCTTTATCAGCTAGATACTTAAATTGTTTTCATTTCTTGGCTTGGGCAAATAGTGCTGCAATAAATGTGGGAATGCAGGTGTTTCTTTGACAAATGTATTTGGTTTCCCTTGAATATTTACCCTGAAATGTGATTGCTGGTTCATATTGTTTTGTTTTGTTTTGGTTGGTTTGTTTGTTTTTGAGGAACATCCATGCTCTTTTCCATAGTGGCTGTACTAAGTTACATTTCCAACAACAAAGTGCAAGTGTTCTGTCTTTTCTAGATCTTTGCCAACACTGGTTATCTTTGCCTTTTTTTCCCCTTCAGATAGGGTCTTTTATTCCACGGATTCTCTTACTAGATATTCTTGAAGGAGTAAGTGGAGAGCCATCATAAGTTTGTGAGTTTGATGGTGGAGACAGTGGTTCAGTGGCCAGAGATTAAATAATTTTTAGGTTAAGTGAGAGGGGAAGCAAGAAGTCAATAAGGAGGAAATGGTAAGACATTTAATGAGGTCCTCCTCTCCTCCCCAACTTCCCACCTGCATCCAGAACCAATCATTAGACAATAATTTAGATATGCTTTTCATTAGCAAATTACAAAGCCAATATCAGCATAATTTTGCAGAATTGGAATGTGTTTAAATCTCAGCCACAATTTAACTGGATTCAGCTTACATGGAGGTCACTGTGTTCCTACAAGTAAGCTTCACAGGCAATGAGGACACGCTCCGACATGTGCAGCAACAGCAGATTCATGCTCTCTCAGACACTGAGTAAGATGTTTTCTGCGTCCAGAAGCCAACACTGTTTCTTTTTAGTTGCTCTTTTCCTTCTCCATTCCTTGATTTTTCCTTTCCATGATGTTTCTTTTTTTTTTAATAGAACATTTTAAAAAATGACTTATTTATTTTTATTGAAAAGCCAGATCAACAGAGAGAAGGAAAGTCAGAAAGAAAGATTTTTTATCTTCTGGTTCATTCCCCAAGTGGCCACAACAGTCAAAGCTGAGCTGATCTGAAGCGAGGAGCCAGGAGCTTCTTTTGGCCCTCCCATGCAGCTGCAGGGTCCCAAGGCTTTGGGCTATTCTCTGTTGCTTTCCAGCCACAAACAGGGAGCTTGATGGAAAGTGGAGCACCTGGGACAGTTTCTTTAAGTATACTTGCCCCTCCTTAAAATTCTGATGCTCATTTCTACAGAGGCTATGAAAATGGAATGTCCCCAATGGGTGTGTTTTTTTGTGTGTGTGATTGCTATGTATTTTGATTGTGACATTGTGATTGTGATGCACATCACAATCCTCCTTCTTTTTGGCCAAAAACAGTTCACCTAACAGTTTATCGCCTTCATAGATTTGCAATCAGTAAAGCTGGCAGCTTTACCCAGAATCCAGGAACTCAGACAAGTCACATAAGACGTTCTCTGAAAGTGAAGACATTCCTTGGGTGGAAAGATCTTCCTCTCTCATGTACCCAGACTCATTCTTTTGTGTTTTCTGATAAAAGCCCAACTTATTGGAGTGAGATGGCATTTCATTGTTGTGTTTATTTGCATTTCTCTGATGATTAGTGATGTTGAACATTTTTTCATGTTACCTGTTAGCTATTTATTTCTTCCTTTGAGAATGTCTGTTTAGATCTACTACCCATTTTAAAGATTTATTACTTATTTATTATTTAATTATTTGGAAGAATTACAGAGGGAGGGATGGGGAGTGTGGGAGAGAGAGAGAGAGATCTTCAAACCACTGGTCCACTGCCCAAATAGGTGTAATGGCCAGGGCTGGGTCAGACTAACACCAGAAGTCAAGAGCTTCATCTGGGTCTCACTCATGGGTGGCAGGGACCCAAGTACTTGTGCTGTCTTCTGCTGCTCTTCCCAGGCCATTAACAGGAAGCCAGTTCAGAAGTGGAGCAGCTGGGACTTGAGCCAGTGCCCACATAGAATGCCAGTGACATAGCAGGCAATGGGTTTGCCCACTACAACACAGTGCTTGCCCCAGCTACCCATTTTTAAATTGGATTATTTGGTTTCTTTATGCTATTGAGTTGAGTTCCTTACATAGTCTGGCTATTTACCCCTTGTCAGATGTGTAGCTTTCAAGCATTTTGTTCCATTTGGAATGTTGTCTGTTCACTTCGTTTGATCGTTTTCTCTGCAATGGAGAAGCTAACAATTACTTTTCTTCATTCTATCAACTGGCAACTCGAATACACCCTTCTTCAGTTTTGCCTCAAGCAAAGAATTGGAAACACTAAACTTGCAAAAAGATTTGTTACCAAGTCAGGAAAGGGATTTCATTTGATAGTTTCCTAGAAGTAAAATTAAAAGGCTTTGTAGGGAGCTGGATGGGAAGTGGGACTACCAGGATTAGAACCGGTGCCCATGAAATACATTTTTTTTTTTAACTTGTTGAGGTCAAGAATGAGTTAAAAACTCAGAGGTGGTTAACACTGCTATTGCCTGACTGTACAATACATGTTAATTCAGAATATGAATAAATGCAAAATAACTAATTTCTGACTTGTCACTTCATCCTCAACACCAAAATACATAAACAGAGGTGAAGACATAAGGCTTTGCAGTGAGGCTTATGATCCCTTTGTTAAAAAGAAGCTTCACTAATATCAATAGTTTGAGTATTTTTCTTAGGGTTTCTAGAACATTTTCTCAAGACAAGCATCATCACAATAAGGCATCATCACAATAAGAGTTGGAGTGCAGAGTCATTTTTTTTTTTTTATGGTGGAGGAAGACATTTGTGCAGGGAGCTGAGAGAGGCAGCAGAGTGACAGCTTGATGAGAGGCATGTTCTCAGGAAAGTTTGTCCTAACAAGGAACATCCATGAAGCTTACAACTCTAGAATGAAGTTTCTTAGAAGCACCACTCCTCTGCATTGCTTGGAAGTCTATGCACCATTAGAGGATGTGACCCCAATCTGAAGACTGTTTGCATAGAAAACATATTTCAATAGTCCATAGAAATTACATTTCAAGACCTTGGTGGGAAAGCGGAGTTAAAATGAGTTTATTTTAGAGTAGTTTTGAAACCAGTTCATAGCTTTTCATAGTACATGTTTTCTATGAACGTTTTTGAAGATACCTCTTAATTAATCTAGGTCTGAGGTTGACTTCTTTTGTCTGCTATAGATAGGAGACACAATGCAGAACTCCAAGGCCTTATGTATAACCAAATAAACCAAAATCCTCTTGTCTGTCCTTGTAGATAAGGGAGAGAAATAAATTTTTGTGTATGTCTAATCCTGAAATTTTATTTCCCCTAATGGGGTACCTGGTGTGCCAGAGAGGGTCTCCAAATTGTAGGAGTGAAGTGGCCTTGTGACCAAGATCTTCAGAGCTTGGGAAGAACATTGAATGGGAGTCATGGTCAGTTCTCAGGAGATGAGTCAGTGCCAGAGAGAGCCAGCTTAGTTCGTAATCAAAGACAACAGTTTGGAAGTTGCACCACCCACAGACTTCACAGCGGTTGCTAGCTAAATTCTCGAGTCAGACCAGACAGCTCTTCTCAGGGGACTCATCCACAGTCAGCCTTGAACTTCCCTCTCAACACCACAAGGACACAGCAGGCTTTTTCCTACATCCCACCACCATTTTGGGGAAGGAAAAGAAACTCCAAGATTGAATATCTATCTAGAGAGATCATCCAACCAACCCTGGTTAGGGAGTGAAAATTTGAAGAAATATTTACCCTAAAACATGATGAATGAAATTAGTAGAGTCCAATAGCCCTTAAACTGGAAAAAAAAATCTAAGATTTTCTAATACCTGGCATCTATAAAAATGCAGTCTGCCATAGAAAATAATCCCTTTTATGGTAGGCTGTGATTCTGCTACTTTCTTCTTTTTATGTTTCAGATGTGAGATCAATTCAGATTAAAATAAATGTAGAAGAAAGTTTTACCAAATGCAAATATGTGAGTACAACTAAATATGCCAATAACTCTGATTTCTGAAATTTCAATCATGGAAGAAATGTAAGATTTGTTCATAAGGACTTATTCTCTGGAGGTGTAGTTCAATATGAACTCTGAAAGCACAGAGAATCAGCAAGCAATAGACTGTGTTTTGGCAAAGCCACTTTCCTAATGACACACTTTATTAAATTGCTATGTGTATCTTTATACTTTGACTAGAAGGATAATTGACGACCACTTTTTACCACATCCAGTGAAAAGAGTACAACTCTATTTTCACACAACAGATTGTTAAATTGGGCCTTCATACCATCTGTTTAGAGCAAGTCAATTCTTTTGAGTCATAAAATTGGCACACAATATAGTATCATCTTAAAAATGAAGTCCTAAGATGAAATATATATATAAATATGTGTGTGTATGTATACCAGTGTACACATGGCAGTAGATTGTGCCAGTTTGCAAACCACACAGCAGTAACAAAGATCTGCTTCTGGGGTGCCGTCTGGACTTTGCACATCACAAGGATTCCATTCCTAGGGTTGTGCTTTTAGAGTGTATTTCTGTTAGTGATGGTTTGCCACCTACATGCTCATTCATACTTTCTCCCGGAGCTCCCTCTTGTGACTAGTGGCCACAGTGTTGAGGTTGTGTTTGTAAGTAACACACACACACTCTCAGAGACTCCTGTTTGTATCAAGAGTCCTTGATTTTCATAACCACCTGCTATTTTTGATTTACACTTTTCTGTACTGGATCACTATCAGATTCCTTCATTAGAAAATAAGTAAAAACCTCACTAACTCCCTGGTACCGCAATTTATAAAATTGTGCACGGTTCTTGATTGGGACTCAATAAATATTTGTGATGAGCAGACTTCTGAATATTAATTATGGAGCCATTTTCTTCTATAAGAAATTAATGAACAAAGAGAAAATATGAGATTTCTTATTTATATACAGTATGATACTTGTAATGATTGTTTACCAATTTGCTAAGGATATGGTTCCGGAAATTATAGTTATTAATGAAACACCTAAATAAGATCATTAATATGATAGCTTACTGCTACATGCTAATTTATTTAATGCTTCTCAGTAAATATTTTCTTGTCTAGTTCTAATGAGGTAGTAATTCAGATCTTCAAAGTTTTCCTTTAAATTTGTTAATTGTTTATATCTTCTTGTTAACAACATCATATATTATTTCATCTTTTTTTTTTTACAGTATTTGACTTTTAATAGTACTAAAATCTGAATACATTCCTGTAAGCCCATCTATATTTTTACATCTTAACTTAGTCCTCATTTAATTATGGAAAGTTTTGGGCCATGTCTTAACATGGTGGTTGCTTTTTGAAAATATACTGCTAACCCAAATCTTTACTATTTAAAGAAATGTATTTTTTCAGAACTAGCAAAACAAATGTCATCTTAAATATTAGGTCAGAGTATAGGGCCTGTGAGGTTTAAGCTTAGAAATTAGTATGTCCAAACCCTGCTATTAACAATTACTTAACTAAAATCAAATAAAACTCTCTCAGAAGCCTTTATTTTTGTTTCCTCATAGACATGATTACATTTTTGCTCATCCTCATTCTCAAAATAGAACAGGAAAACATGAAATCAGTGAGAGTAAATGTCTGAATAGGTTATTCCCAATAAAAATCTTAGTAGAAAAATATGAATGCAAAACTATTATTTATATTGCTTTGAAAGCTTTCCATAGGGATTTTCTTTTATCCCTTTGAATAATAACCACTGCATAGTTTTTCTTTCTAAGGGATAGATTGAAGTTTAGGGAAATAAATATATCAAGACTCATCTGATTTGGTTACAATTGGAAATCAGTAATCATTGTAAAAATAGTTGTTATAATAACAACCCAGTTCACTTTAGGATGTGCAGGGGGTACCGGTGCAAGATCAGAGGTGACTCCTTGTGGTCTTCACCCATGCTCACGGTTTGGCCTTCTCTGGTTCCATTATTCATTGGTCATTCTCCAGATCAGAAATGAGAATATTTTCTTCCAAATGTGTGCTTCTGAAGCTGGTGTGATAGTAAGAACCTCGAACCCCAGCAAGTCTCCTCAAAAAGCCCCTGTTCTGCTTGTACATATAGAAGGACAGTGCGCAAATGGCCAGAATCACGAGTGTCAGAGCTACGGCGAGCGGCACGATGCTGTGACTAGGTCCTGGAAAGAGAGCAGAAAAAGGCAAGCCTCCAGGACAAAGCGATACCGCCCCACAGTCGCTTTTTGTTTTACTATTCCACAGAGAAAATGAAACTTCTATCCTGTTCACAACTTACTTTTTTCTGGATGTTCTGTTTCAGTGTGAATATCTAGAACAAAATACAAAAAAAAAATGAAGCTTCTTTTCTAATTCAGCAAATTATGCCATTATTTATGGGAAGGATGAGCAAACAGTAGCCCATGGATCCAATCTACTTGTGTGTTTTATAAGCAATATTAATTGGAACTCAACCACACTCATTTCTGCTTTACCTATGACTGCTTCTGCGTTGGGATGGCAGTGTGACACAGATCAATGCCCCAGAAACTCTGAAATATTTACTCTTCAGCTGGCCCTTTGTGAGAAAAGCTGACTGATCCTTGATTTATGGAAATCACCATTATTTAGTGCTCAAAAATATACTTCTTCTTTTCACTAAAGAATTCCAACCTGATTTTGACATCGTGCTAGTTATAGAAAAAATTAGTAGATAACCAGTTCCCTGTATGCAGATTCTCAGATTCATAGGAATCTCATATATAGTTTGTCCTGCCTGTCTCTATGCACAGATTTTACAACCAATTTTTTTTTCACCTTTGTAGTCTGGAGATCTGGGGAAACAGACAAAAGCTTCTCTGTTCAAAAGGTTACAAGGTTCCAGTTTTAGGACTTTATATTGTAATAGTACCTTTCAAGTTGATTCTGCCTCATAATTTGAATTCTGCTATTAAAAAATATTTATTTGATGCCAAAGTTTGGGATCAACCAAGGTGCCCATCATCAGATGAATAGATTAAGAAAGTATATATCATTCAGCCATAAAATAATGGATTTCTACCATTTACAGCAAAATATACTAATTGAAGGACACCATGCTGAGCGAAATATGCCAGAGAAAGTACCATGCTCTCCCTTACATGTGAGAGCTACATGCAAAAAACAAAAGTAAAAGAGCAAGGTCTGTGTGTATCAGTACTGTGGCAAACACAGGTTTGTTTTATATGTTTTGTTAAATTAGCAGTTAAGTATGCTGTGCTACTATAGTTTTTTTTTAAGATTTTTTTAAATTTTTATTGGAAAGGCAGATGTACAGAGAGGAGAGACAGAGAGGAAGATCTTCCGTCTGATGATTCACTCCCCAAGTGAGCGCAATGGCCAATGCTATGCTGATCCGAAGCCAGGAGCCTCTTCCGGGTCTCCCACGTGGGTGCAGGTTCCCAAAGCTTTGGGCTGTCCTCGACTGCTTTCCCGGGCCACAGGCAGGAAGCTGGATGGGAAGCAGGGCTGCCGGGATTAGAACCGGCGCCCATATGGGATCCCGGGCGTGCAAGGTGAGGACCTTAACCACTGCGCCACCGCGCGGGGCCCGCTACTATAGTTTTAATGACCTTTGACTTCTTTAAAATGTAGTAAATGTGAATGAAATGTTGATTTTTCCATTCAATGATTGGTTATAGCCATTGTCTGTTTTCTTACTGAACTAAGATTTTATTTTGCAAAAAAAAAAAAAAAATCACTTGATAATTGTGGAGAGAAAGTGAGAACAGGAAGGAGCAAAAGTGAGAGCAAGAGCTAGCAGGTGCATTTCAGCCTTCACATGCTGACTCACTGCCCAGGTGCTTGCAGTGGCTGAGACTCGGCAGGGCCCAAGCCAGGATCTGGGAGTTCAGTACAAGGCTCCCACATCTGTGGCATCTGTTGGAGCTGACAGGAGCAGGAAGTGGAGAGTTGGAGTCAAACCCAAGTACTCCAGTATGAGGTGTGGACATTCCAGCTGGCTTTGTAATTACTATGCTGAATGCCTGTGCCAGCAACCTTTGATTTTTACTAAAGAGATAGATGGAGTGAATGGTTTTATGAGTGGAAGGGTGTCTTGGTATCTTACTTTTGCTCATCACTCTGATAGACCTAACAGAGACATCATTGTTGTTTTGATAGCAAAATCACATTGAAAAAACCTTGCTTTCATAACTTGAAAATAATGTACAATCTATTAAATTCTTCAAAAACATCTGTTATTGTGTATGTGGGTGAAAATATTCTTTAGAAATGTTCAGGGCCTGGTGCGATGGATCAGTGGCTAAAATCCTTGCCTTGCATGTGGCAGGGTCCCGTATAGGCTTGGTTCGTGCCCCAGCTCCTCTACTTCCCTCCCAGATCCCTGCTGTGGCCCGGAAGAGTAGTAGAGGATGGCCCAAAGCCTTGGGACCCTGTACTTGTATGGGAGACCCTGTAGAAGCTCCTGGCTTCTGGCTTTGGATTGGCTCAGCTTTGGCTACTGCGGCCAAGATTTCGTGTTTTCTTTTTCATTTCTTCATTGATACATTAGTTATTCAGTAGCATGTTGTTTAACTCCATGGTACTGTAAATTTTTTGTTTTAACTTCATTCCTGTTGTTGATTTTGTTACATGGCTTCTAATTTAAGGGAATGTATAGTATCAGCATAATAGAGACCATCATATCCAGATGCGAAGATACAATGCACTATGCATCTCTACTTTCAAATCAAAGATGGACTCCCAATGAAACTGTTGGATATATGTTTTTACAATAGGATGCTGGACTGTCTGGCATTGTCTGTACCAGCAATGTCAGATCACACTTAAATAACAGAGATGGAATTAATGACTGCTTATGAAGGACTATACTATTGTAATAATATGGGGAAAATTAATCAGGGGGTGGGAATTTGGAGAGGGGGTAGGTAAATCCCAGAGACTATGGAGTTGTTCCATAAAATTTTTAAAAAGACCCGTAACTAAGGTGAGTTAACATCAGTCAGGGTAGAATTCAAGTGGAGAGTTACACACCTGCCGTCATTTTGCAAATGAAGCCCATTTTTTCTTGACATGGGGAGAACTGCCATATTCCTTCAGGGATCTTCAGGGCAAGGCACCGATGTGCCTTGATGTGCTCCGTGTCTGGTTTCCGAGTGCCCCAGTTTGACTTGTCTGTTGGAGTCCCATCAAACCATTTGACTGTTTCATCTGTGGAAAAATTCTGATTGATTATGAGTTATGTGCCTAGTTATCAAGCATTCCAAGACTGGTATGCACCATAAAAAACAGCCTCTATTCTTAATGAGACTCTCAATCTGATGTTTTCAACTTTGTAAGCAGAATTGTGAACTCAGCATAAAAAGATCAGTATGTAATAATGTTGCATTAGAATAACCCACTTCCTCCTGTATTTATTTTACAAATGGTGTTCCTCATTTAGTTCTCTTAGGATGTCATTTTTTTTTTTAATGAAGTTGTTTGAATTTTGGGATATCTCATAGTATTTGTAAGCAATGTGAAGAGTCATTCAATAAGCTAAACTACCCATGGTTAAGAAAGATCCTTTGAGGTCCTAATATCTATGTCTTTTACACATGACTTAGATTCTAAAAGAATTTACACAGAGCTTTTTAAATATCATGCTAAGCATGTGCCAACCCGTGGAGGGACAGTGGAAGAGTCCTTCCCCTGTGTAGGTAATGAGGGAGTGGTTGCATTGTCTGAAAAGAATTTAAAACCAACAATAAAAGTAAGTAAAACTCCATCTGCTTTTTATTAGCTCCATCTGCTAGGCATTCTAAACAATGTCGGAAATTAAAATATACCTCTTTGCAGGGGTGGGTTCACTGCTCACCTTGGTACAACAGTGTAACAAACTCTTTATACCAATGACAATTTTTTACAAATATCTTTCAATAACCATCAATTACATAAAGAATCACCTACTTCCATTTTATTACAAAATCTATTTTGGATGAATGACAAATAGCAATCATAACATTATTTATCAATGAAGCGTTTCTGCAATTCTGTTGTTGATTTTGTAATATTTAGGAACCTGTGGTATGATTTTGGTATTAGAGTAAATCTGTGAACAAAGATCCAGCCAAGCATCTTTTCCAAAAAAGGTTCAGGACAAATACTTGCTAATTGTTGGTATTCTGGGATTATTGCAGAGGACGTGAGCGTACAGAAAAGGGGAGCAGTGTTGTTTTTAGATTTGTTTAGGATTCATGCCTCCCTGCCCCGTTTCCTCATGGCAGATGTTCCCAAGGAGAACTTTCTGGCTCACAGATGCCATCATCACCAGACTTACCAACTGCATTTACTTATGTCCCCTCCTCTACCCAGATCACTTACTGTCAAACTGAGCATTCAGCCAGACCATCTGCACAGAAGCACCAAAATCAAAAAGCTCTTCTAGGAGAAATGAATTTTCTGCCTCATCCTTGATTGTTAGAAGATTTGCTCCTGTGAAAGAGAGAAATAGAGGATGAACAAGTATTTGTATTTATATGTCAGTATAATTTATAAATTGTCTCCTGGGCCATTGTTTGTAAAGTCCAGGCTTTGAAAGGTAATAATATTCATTATTAATAAGTAATTGTGATGAGAAATTTTTTTAAAGATTTATTTATTTTTATTGGAAAGGCGGATATACAGAGGAGGAAAGACAGAGAGAAAGATCTTCCATCCGATGGTTCACTCCCCAAGTGACCGCAATGGCTGGAGCTGAGCCAATGTGAAGCCAGGAGCCAGGAGCTCTTCTGGGCCTCCCAAGCGGGTACAGGGTCCCAAAGCTTTGGGCCATCCTTGACTGCTTTCCTGGGCCACAAGCAGGGAGCTGGATGGGAAGCTGGGTCTCTGGGATTAGAACCGGCACCCACATGGGATCCTGGCGCGTGCAACGCGAGGATTTTAACCACTATGCTATCGTGCCAGGCCCATTGGCATGAGAAATTTTAAAGTAAAACCATTTTTATTAAAAGACACAAGCCTGCACTTAAGAAGTTAAAACATAGAATATTAATTTTAGGGAACATTAAATATTCATAATGCAACTGCATGCAAAAGCAACATTTTCTTGGGAAAGTCCAACATGCTGAGACAATATCTTCCATTCTCAAGTTCCTCACTGCACTTGAGTTTCATACATTAATTGGCCACTAAAAAAAGCAGATTTAATAATGCTTGTCTTCTCAGGACTTTTTATGGTTCCTTAAAGTCACTAAAACACTGAGACAAATAAAAAAATCATTTCCTAAACTGTCAAGAAATCGTATATGAATCATTTTACCATTACATAAAAATTACCTTCCTTTTTGCAAAATTCATGAGCAGCTTCAAAACTCACACCATCTAAGACTGTAGAAAAACTGTAGCAATTATTTTTAAATTTTATCCAGGGAATAGATGTTTCTGAGCACAGCTCTGGATATTTAAGTGGTCTTGTTTCTAAGAAGAAAAACCCATTGTAATTTTAGGTTAGTGACTGAGTTCATTTATTTAGATTAATATTACATTGCAATCCGTGAAAGACCAAGATAAATATAATAGTAAGATATTCATGGTGATACTCTGAAATATTGGGTTAATATAAATGATTACAAAACTAGCATAAGTTTAGAGCATTTTTGGCAGAAATAATCTTTACATAACACGACAGAGTATGTTGATCCATAGTTTTGTAAGTTCAGTTTGGGTACTGCCTGGGGAGGGTAGCTTCTCTCCTGTTTGCAATGAGTACCTTTGAGGTGGAACAGCTGGGAGATGTCTCCAAGACAATGAATGAATGAATGGCAGTGAATGACTTTCAGCTATACAAAAAGGTGTTTTATGCAATGTTGAATATTGCAGATTAAAAACAAATCCTTCCCTGCTAATAAACTTGTGAAATACAAAAAGGCATCCAGGAAAGTATCATAAGGTAACAAAAGTAAGGACAACTGGGGAAGGATTCACACAGTAAGTCTAAGAGTCAGACACACCCATGCTGAGGTCTTGGTTCTGCTACTTCCTGGCTGTGGGCATGGTACCCGACACTGTTTCTGTCTCTAAAAGAGTTCTGACAACAAATACCTTTCTTGCACATTGAGGTGTTAAATTAGTTACGGCCTGACACTTCTCTCTCTCTCTTTTTAAAAATTCTTACTTTGCATTACAAAGGTGCAGGACTTCCCCCTTTTCCCTTCCTTTCCTCCCTCCTTCATCTCCCCTCCGCATTGCCCACATGTGTCATGACATTGCAGGTATCCTTCTTGGGCCATCCAGAAAGGCACTGGTGTGAAAAAGCAAAGGAGAGCTTGTATGGTGTTTTACAAGCACAATTAACGTTTCATATAAAGGGCCATCATTTACATTTAATGCTGAATTAAATTGATCTGGTTAGCTAATATATATGCCATTTGACATAATTTCCGGAATAGAAGTAAACACATGTACTTTCACTGAAAGAGATTTCGAGTGTGCCGGGGCAATCTGCGGAGAGGGTGCCTGACGAAATGAGGCTACATGTTACATCAGGAAGTGAGGAAACCTGGCTTCTGGTTCCGATATTGTTAACAGACAGCTGTGAGATCCTCAGGAAGCTTAAGTGTTCTGAGTTTGTTTTTGAATAAAGGATGACAGCTTCACATAGCCAAACACTGCTATTCATGGCCCTGGAATCATGTTAGTCTTTGATCTAACTATTAATCCTTAGTCAAGGTCCTCTGCATGTACTTTTTACCTATGTTTTTAGTCTGATTTGTCACCTGTAGTGCAGGCAAATCTCAACACAAGCTTTATCTAACATATACCCAGTGCTGTCTTTCTATAACTTTGTCCAAGCTTTCTTCCTCTGAAGGCCTCTTTCTATGCTATATTCCCATTTACATCCAACTCATTCTTTAAGGTCCATCTTCATGTTGTTTTCTTCAAAATGCCATTTTATTTTACTCCAAATGGATATGCTGTATTCTTTTGCTTGATAATTCCAGAAATATTCGCTACCTCTCATAGATCATTTGGTAGCTCTACTTAATATAGCAGTTAGTGGTCTTTGCATCACCAATCATATCAGAGGCCTTCTGAGAGTAAAGACTTCTTACTACTCGTGCTCTCATCTCTTGCCTAGTACAGTGCCTTGTATACTCTAGGTGTACAGGACATACTTCCTGAATTGAACAGAACTGAACCTACCAGTGGGCACATGGCAGATGGCACCTTGCAGAAATGACTCACAGGCCGCACTATGCCAGCGTCCATTGGTGTCAGCAAAAACACAGTCACCGAGGAAGGGAGACTCTTCATCTTCCCAAAAGGTGAAATTGGACTTGGTGCCATCTGACCAGTCAAAACGAAGACCATTCTGTGGAGGGAAATTGAGTCATCATTTCCTTGCAACAGTGCTGGCAGCTTGACCCAGTGCTACTGTGCATCTCACATTTCCCTTGTAGATTTGTATTTCTATGCCTGTTAGTTCAGAAGTTCTACACAGTTTGTGGATATTCCTTGACAATTAGGAATATATGCCACAAACAGTTTCTTTCTTTCTTTCTTTTCTTTTTTTTTATCCAGAAATTCTTGGCTTACTGCCACTATAATTTCTCACTAAATAGGCCTAGACAAACAGTATCAGTGTTTTGCTTTTTACACCAATACAGATTTCAAATTGGTCGGAGTCACAAAACTGAAAACATGTTAAGTATCAAAGAAAACTCAACTTAAATGTTTTAGGGGCTTGGTGAGGGGAAAATCTTTATAAGTTGTACAAAAGTCAAAGGCCTGACGCAAAATTGATTCAAGTTGAAGCACTAGGAACTATAAACATATGATAAACAAATAAAACATCATTATTCCATCTATTTCACTGGCAAAATTTTTGATAATGTTACGTGTTGGTGAGGATGTGTGACAAATCTAGATGCTCTCATATTGTGTTAATTTCATATGAATTGGTACAAACCTTTGGAGGGCAATTTGGCAATGGGTGTGCTCAACAGTTTTAGTTTTGGGAATGTATCCTACTTGCACAAGTATATTTTTGGTATACTGTTTATAACTGAAAAAGTAAGAGGAGCCCAAATGTCTCTTCATAGGAGAATCATTTAATAAGTTGTGGTATATCCTACCATTCTGCTGTCCCGAAGACTCAGACTTCTATGCGCTAACATTAAAAGCTGTGAAATATATACTACATAAAAAAGGCACATTTAAGGAAAAAACATAATATGAGCTCCTTTGTGTATAAAAACTATATAAGATATTCATTAATTATCTGTAAACAGATGTATATATACAGAAAATATCTAGATAACACACAAGAAACTGTTTACAACTATTTACACTGGGAAATGTAACTAAAGTTTGGGACAGCTTAATGTTTACCTGATACTACTTTGTGTAATGATTTTATTTTGTAAAAAGAGCTATTCTCCCAATCACATCCTCACAGGGAAAAAGACCCCATGTATTAAGCTTCAAGGAATACTGAATCAACTAATACTTAAATTTCTAGGCAGGACATATGGTTAATTTTTCTTCAGGATTCTTTAAGTGCAACAAATTACTTAAATACAGTGCATCTGTGTAAGAAGTGTTTCAGGAACCACATTAGGGAGGATCTGGGTGTGCTTGCAAACTTTCAGGCAACCTTTGAGAGGTATTTTTAGAAACTAGACAATTCCTAATTTAGCTCATAAGGGTGTAAAGCCCTATTTTATAGCCACAAGCTGCTCCTAAGAGATGATCAGTAGCTATTGTATCGAAAAATCATATATGTGTTACATTTATTTCTAAGACATTTTTTCTGAGCTAATTTTAGTGACAGTGTCACCACAGAGGTAAATGAAAGGTAAGATTTGCTAAGGGAGTTCAGACACCCACATTGGCAGTGAACAATCCAATCCAGTGGGCGTGTCTGAGCCGGCTGAGGATGACCGTGAGGAAGGACTGCTGATACTGGTCTGTGATGCTGACCAGTTCTGCTCCATGCATCAGGCAGGATTTTATTGCTGCATACCAAGTCATATTTGCATGAATTATTTTGTAAGTTCTGTTTCCATATTCTAAGGTATTGGGGATTGGATACATGTCAGATGTATTTACATGGTGTCCAGAAGAATCTAGAATGAGAACAGCAACAAAAATCATTTATAGCATCTGGATGATAAAGGAGGCAAAACTTATTATCTTTGATCCCTTTCAGGATGGTCTTTATTGATCAGAGAGTTTTTCTGTCCAAAAACTGACTACTTCAAAGGGATGCCACTACCTAAAATTGTAGGTGATGCTGAAGATTTAAAACACTAAGGACAGTGTAATGGGCACAGTAATGAAAGGGCAAGGTAATGGCTGCGTCAGACTCCCGCCCTCATTTTGTAAGTACATATTCTCAGAAAAAAATGCTTGATTTTGCTTTTGAGCATAATAGTCACTACTGTTTAATGTTTACATGTACAAATTCTAAAATAACATTTTAAAAATTAGGGAGGTGCTTAGCATCCATACAATTGTTATAAGCAGTTATCGATAACTTGTCAGAGTCAAGATTCTAGATTAAAAGGCAAGGTTTTTTCACCCACAGTTGTTGTTGTTCATGTCGTTTCTTGTTCATGGAAATCTAGCCTGTGTTTTATACTCTAGTGTGTTCTCGCTAATAATGTACCTTTGCTTTTTTATTCTATGTGATGTTGTGAATTAGCATAGGTCAACTTCAGATAGGAAGTTGAGCTAAGTTTCCATATTTTGGTCCAAAATGACTTAAATTCCTCCCCATCCACTGGTTTAATTACGTTTTGGGTTGCAAAGGAACCTGGTGAAGTGCCTATGGGTCTGAACAACTGGGACTTAGTTTCATTCCTGGCCTTAACTGGCAAAGAGATTCAGGCACATTAATCTTTCTAACTATCAAATTTCTGCTCTATAGGAGAGTGACAAGCTTCTCTTAAAGGCGAATTGGAGTGGCTAGAAGTCAGTGAGATAGCATGTAGGGTGCATACTATTGTATCTGGGATATAGCAGGTGCTCAATAAGTGTTGCTGCTTCTTTCTCCTCTACTTATACTCTCCTAGTAAAAATGGCAAAGTTAGTATTTGACTTTTACCAAAGACAGCTATCTAAATACAATAGTAACACATGTTGTAAAATCAAAGAGAAATTAATATACTTAGCTGTTAATTTGTGAAAGCTAACACTTTTATTATCAATTTAGTTATCATTAGAGTCTGTTTGTCAACCCACCTGACTAGTCTATAGGCATTTATGCAAAATAAATACAATACCAAACTAAATATTTAAAAGTAATAACTAGCAAAATTAAAATGACTCAAATTCTTTGTATAGATGACCCAGGTGCCAATATTACACCTACTTCCTTTATGTAACACCCAAACACTGCATTGTTATATCATGATCTATTTAAATAATTAATTCCATCAACTTTCAAAACCCAAGTGATTTTGTCAACCATTACCCCGGTAAAGAAAGAGCTATTAGTTTCCAAGTTTCAACCTTTAGTTCTTGACTTTGTGCTTGTTTCTCTCTCTCTCTCTCTTTTTAAAAAGATTTATTTTTATTGGACAGTCAGATATACAGAGAGGAGGAAAGACAGACAGGAAGATCTTCCCGTCTAATGGTTCATTCCCCAAGCGGCTGCAATGGCTGAAGCTGAGCTAATCCAAAGCCAAGAGCTAAGAGCTCTTCTGAGTTTCCTACATGGGTGCAGGGTCCCAAGGCTTTGGGCTGTCCTCTGCTGCTTTTCCAGGCCATAAGCAGAGAGCTGGATGGAAAGGAAGGCTGCCAGGATTAGAACCGGTGCCCATATGGGATCCTGGCACATGTGAAGCAAGGACTTTAGCTGCTAGGCTATCATGCTGAGCCCTGTCCTTGTTTCTCTTTTAATTCAAATTTTTTTCCTTCCAAGACCTTATGCTCAAATGCAATGTAAGTACATATTTTATGATAAAGAGAATCAGAACCTGAGTATTTATTAAGACTATAAATATTTGCATAGTTGAATAATTCTTTTTCTGAAATAACAATAATAAAACCTCTTATCATTTGATGGTAGGAACTATGCTAAGAAAGCAGTTATATAACACATCCAAACCAGCTAACTATATAATATTACAGATGCAAAAATCAAAGCTCCTGGAAGATAGGCACTTTGACTAAAATGTATTTGTAGAGACAGAATAGGAATGCACTTGAGGTGGACATTGTACATCCTCTCTCCTCAACTATACCTATGCTGTACTAGCACCAAACAACATTGGCATGGCAAATCCTAAAAATAACGAGAGGTCAATATTGAGGAAGTAGAACAGAATTGTTGTATTTAACTGAGACTTTGAATGTATCACACATTTTTCCTAATATTTTCTTGGGTGAAAGATAGGAAGACATTCACCTAATTCACAGAATTGTAATGAAAATTTTATGGCATAATGCTCATAAAGCCAAGGCACAGTGCCAGAGCACAATTGTGTAAGTGCATAGTCTACTGATAGCATTTCTTTGCCCAGCAAGCCTTGCCTTTCCTGTAATTCTGTTGCTGTTACAGATTAGTTTCATCCTTCAGTTTCTGACCATTATGCTCCAGTGATAAGTGTTTACCTGGAACTGCTTTTCTGAAAATGGTTTGATACTAAGTACCATTAAAAAATGTTGTTTATTTAAAAGGCAGAGAGACAGGGAGAGAAGGAGTGGCACACACACAGATGCGTCCATCCACTGACTCATTCACTCCCCCAAATGACTGCAACAGCCGGGATGGGTCAGGCCCAAACCAGGATCCAGGAACTCCACCTGGGTCCTCCCACATGTGCAGTAGGCACCCAAGCATTTGGGCCATCAGCTGCTGCTTTTCAGGCACATAGGCTGCAAGCTGGATGGAACCAAGCAACCCAGACTCAAACTGTCTGATAGGCCATGCTGGCTCCACAAATGGCGGCTGAACGTGCTGCACCACAGTTCTGGCCCCACTTAGTATCATTAAAGAGTTCACAAGTACATAATACTAAGAAGTACAATCCATATTACAGGTCAGCATATCTGTTCCTATGCTGGGCTCTTCATTTGTTTTTGTTTTTTTTTTTTTACAGCTCCAGAGATGAACCCTGACACTCTGTGGTATTGTCAGGAAACTGTTAGCTTTGCTGTGATACAGAACAAATATGAAAAATAAGGATGAGTCTCAGAAATGAAAGAAATGAGAAAACCCAAATAGTTCTTACCCTGCATTTTTTCACAGACAAACCCATAGCCTTCTTTTCCACAATCTTCAAAATACCATTTTCCAGTGAAATGAAAATTAGGATTACTAGACAGCAGAGCACAAAGAGGGGTGTGATTTTGATCTGCAGTGGTATTGTAATTGGGAATCTATAAAAAGAATCCACATATAACATCAAAAACAAGGCAACATATCACAATATTATAACATGGAGGTTCTTATTAAGGATGTAATTTTTCAAATTAAAACACCCTCACTGATTCGCATTTCATAAAGCTCACAAATCACTTCATAACTTATGAAGTAAACAATTACTGTAATGAGTGATTTATGGAACACATAAACATTAGATGAAATTATATTATTAAAAGTTAATATGTTAATAATAAACTAATATAAATCTATGCCTGCAAAATGTAGGAAGTAAATGAATGCCGAGTAAAGGAGCCTTGAGTGGGTTCTCTTTGTAAAATGATTTCTGCAAAGTAAATTTGTAGGCTTACATTTAGTATGTCAGATGGAGACCAGTTAGAATATATCACAGGATTTCCATTTAGCCATTTTTCATAATCATCATTTTGCAATCCTATCCACACGTTAGCAGTCTGGCCAAAAAGATTCATGGTAATGAAAGCTGAAAAAGAGGAATCCATTATCTAATTTACTATGTATCAACTGGTTGAGTAATCATTAAATTCTGTTTATAACATGATTATACTTAAATGAGAGAAAAACTTATTTATGAATCAATTGTGGGAATTTAACTATGTCTTTGTTAAGGGGGTGCCATTTCTTTCACCTTCATTTCAGTTTAAATTGACAGAAATTAGCTGGATAACCTGAGATTTCATCACATCACTATCAGAACAATTTTCAGTGTTTAGTCAATGCCTCTCTCAACAAAAACATGTATCTCTTACATTTATACTAAGGTATATAACTGTCTAAATATCTAGTAAATGTAAGTAAATCTAGACAGACACAAAAACTCATACAATTGTAGCAATCTATACGTTAGGTTATTCTAGTAATTTCAAAATAGAGATCATCAGTGCTTCCTCTTCATTATTCCTGGTTACACAAAGGAGCCCAAAGTTCAGAGCTGATAAGCAATGTGTTAGATTTTTACAGATATCATGTTGTAAAGCCTTCTAGGTCAAATGGAAAATTAGTGATAAAAAAAAAACTAGTGTCATCAGCAATATAGTATTATAAAGGTTGATTTGGAAATGTCTCAGCCACTACTTGAGAGTAAGAGTGTTTTGGCCTGCTTGAGCATTCAGTCCTCTACCTTGCTCCACTTCACTCTCAATGGCCACCAGCGTCCCGCCTTTGGCAACGCAGGAATCCCGAGCATATGTCCAGTTCTTCCTGCTGCTTGGGTCTTTGGGGATATTCACTAAAAGACACTATAAAAAGTCACAACAAAATGTTACTTCCACATTTTTCTTAATGAATTCAAAACGTTTCCTAAAGACACTGAGGATCAGCCTTGAACATTCTTCATCCTTTTCTTGAGAAGAAAGTACTTTTTCCTTTCCGCAGCTCTGAAGGTGTTTGAATGAGACGAAGAGGAGCAGGTTTTAGGGTGAGGTTTAGAGTGACCTGTTTGCATTTGCATCAGGCAGAACAGGAGGATATCAGAATAGTGTCTTCTTTCAATGGAAAGTAGTATTTCAGCCTGATTGTAGTGTTGATAATGGAAGACAAAAATCTAGAATAGGATTGTGGAAGTGTGGATGAACAGCTTCATTTGACTTTGTTTACAAATACACCTTCTTCTTTAGGTGTTAGAGAAATCAAACCATATCAGGTATTTAAATTCACCTAACACTTGGAGTCAGCCATTAGTCACTGTGCCATTGGGGAGAGCCTGAAAGGAAAAAGGAGTCCAATGGAAGAAGCAAGAACAAGTAGAGGAAAGCTGGAACAAAGAATCAATAAAAGGGAAGGTCAGCCATCAGTGTTAAAGGTCACACAGAAGGAAAGGCTGTGGGGTCTAGTAAGCAGAGTTGACTATTACTGAAAAGAGAATCATAACATGGCAGAGATTTCTTTTTTATGGAACAGGGTGAGAAATTGAGTGATTCATACTAGGCTGAGCACACAGGCTTGAAGATAAGCTTTTTTCTCTCCTTTAAGCTCAGTGAAATTAAAATGTGTCAATAGGCTAGAAAGGAATTAAGTAAGAGGTGCAGATAGAAGGGGAAGCCTAAAAAAGATTGAGAAAAGTTCCAGAGAAGTTAGGAGAGATTTCATGCAGATGAAATTCACTTGGAGTGTGCTCAGGTTTCATCTCTTGCTCCAATCTCCTTATCAATCAACACAGACAACTGTAGTCATTAACAGCTTAGATCCCAAGGTTTTGCCGTGGAGAGAATCTCAGCTACAGAATAATTCTTTTTTTAAAAGATTTATTTTTAAAAATTTTATATGCATATTTCATAGAGAGAAAGAAGGAGGTCTTCCACACCCACTGATTCACTCTCTAAATGACTGAGCTGATCCAAAGCTGGGAGCCAGGAGTTTTTCCTAGGTCTCCCATGTGAGTGCAGGATTCCAAGGACTTGGGCTATCATTCACTTCTTTCCCAGGTCATAAGCAAAGAGTTGGATTGGAAGTGGATTAGCTAAGATATGAACCAGTGTCAATATGGGATGCCAGTTCCACAAGGCAGAGGATTAGACTACTCTGCCACCATACTGGACCCTAGAATAATTCTGTCATCCTTCCCTGTCTGCCCCACTTTTGGGATGATTTCCCTCTGCTAATTCTTCAATTTATGAATTTGTTATTTCCCATCTCTTCCTTATCATTGTATATTCTGTAAAAAGGAAAAAGAAAAGGAAAAAAGATTCAAGTTTTACTGCTTTTTGAACAGCATACTGTATAAATTCCCCAATAAATGTTTCTGGAATAAAATGAAAGCAAATGGATCCTAAAATGCTTGTCAAATAACATACTCAAATGAACTACAGTTGGCCCATTCATTCTCAAATAAGCACTTTTGCCCCTTGGGAGATGTTTGGATAATGTTTGGAGATAATTTTGGGTGTTACAATGGTGGGGTCTCCAGTAAATGGAGACCAGAGGTGCTGTTGAACATTTTATACTGTACACTGTAGGTCAGGTCCCTACAATAAAGAATTATCCAGCTATTAATAGTGCTGAGATAATTTTGCTCAAAACTCAGTCCTGATCATAATATTCTTTAGTCGAACTCTCTAGGGGTTTTCAATTGCTTTTAGCGTGAAAACCAGAAACCCTGATTTAGCTCGAAGTAGAGTTACCAAGTAAGAATAGAAATAACATTTTCCATTTGTCTGGTCCCCTTTGCCTTGTTTGTCTCACAAAGAAACCAAATTGGCTTTAAAAGAGTTTAATTTTTATAACAACTATCCTTTTATCTATTTCTTTTCATTTTGCCTCTTCCCTCTAATTATAAACTCCAAAGAGTGGCACATAGTAATTATTAGGAAGTCTTATCATTTAATGTGAATTCACCTTGTATTCAGATAGTCACTCTAATGAACCATTCATAAATACCAATGAGCCTCATTGGTTCAGCTATCTCAATAAATACAGAAAACACTCTCCTCTGGTCTTTCACAACATTTGCCTCAACCAAGACTTGCTAGTTTTCCACGATGGAAATGTGGCCTTCCATCACTACAGCTTCATTGTTTCTAAAAATATCACATATTTACAAACACACTCTGAAATAGTGTCATTAATAATTAAAGCAAAGCAGCAAGATGAAATATAGCATCCTTAATTTTAACTTGTTTATTTACTTACTAATTTGCAAAATGTGATCAAGTATAAAGCATCTCTAATTATGACTCTGAATTAAGGAGGCCTATGGTACTCCAAACAAGCTTTGCATATAAATTTGCTCTTGTTTCAAAGTCATGTAGAGCTGCACGATCTTCCCTACAAACTAGTCCTTTCCCAGAGTTTCCCCTGACACTGAATGGCATAGTCAGCACCCATTTACAAAAGTCTTGAAACCAGGGAGACATCCTCACCCTTCCACTCCGTCATCTCTGTAGCTCTACCATCTGGTCATGTCATTTCCTAAGGAGCTACTTCTGCCTCCCCAGAGCTCACAACCCCAAGTTCTCCAAAAAGAAAGGATTGTGTCTGTTTTCTGCCACCATTAAATTCTCAGCTCCCAACATGGTTTCATGAATGGATGAATAAATTGCTAAGATCAGAATAAATTCCAGAAACAGAGACGAGAGAGTTTTTAAGAGGAAAAGCTATGTTGTGCACAAAATCAATTATTGAATGATTGCAACCCAGACAGTGCAAGGCAGCCATTAGCATTCCGTCAGGTCTTGAATAAAAATTTGTAAGTAGAAGCTGAAGAATTAATCACACACACACACACATACACACCCACTCATGGAATTTTTCCCAGAGGTCTCCTGAGACAAGTATGTTAGGAGACTTGTTCTTCCTTGAATAACCCATGGTCAATTCTCTTCCCTGTCATCAAGCATGAAGAAAATTATTTATGAGCCCTTAAGAAATATGTTTAACTTTTTAACGTATCCTTGGATTTTAGAAGTCTTATGTGGCTTGTTTGATGTGGCTTGTTTGACTTGGTTAATATGCATTTAAGTTTGATGCATAACTTTTCACTGCTTGGTAGCTGAACTATTTTTAGCATTGAATAGTATTCTACTATCTAGATATACCACTGTTTATTTATCTAAAGGCTATCTTGGTTTCTAGGTTTGGGCAATAATAAATAAAACTGCTATAAATATCTATGTGTAGGTTTTCATGTAGATGAAATGTTACAACGTTTTTGGATAGGTAACAAGGAGTGTGAATGTTGATTGTATGTTAAGAGTGTGTTCGTTGTGTAAGAAGCTTCCAAACCGTGTTAGACAGTAGCAGCATCATTTTACTTACCCTCCATCAGTGAACCAAAGTTTTTGTTGTTCCTCGTCTTCAATATGTGGTGTTGTCAGTATTACAGAGTTTGGCTGTTCTAATAGATATGTAATAATTTTTGATGTTATTTCCACTGGATTCCTAGCATAGTTCTATGAAGTGGCAGGTACAGGATATGGATCACAGATTTTGGGATAGAAAGCCATGAGGTTGCTTCTCCAGAACTTCAGAAAATTCACACATTTTTATTACAATCAATCTTCTTATCTACAAAATGGGAATAATTCTGTGTGTATAAAAATTTAATAAAATGAGATCACTCAGCTAAGAGGCAGAAGCAATCCAGATGCCCATCAATGGATGAATGGATAAACCAAATATGACAAGCACATAAAATGGAATATATTCAGTGCTAAAAGGAGGGAAATCCTGTTGCATCCTACAACATGGATGAATCTCGAGAATATTGTGTCAAGTGAAACAAACCAGCAGAAAAGGAGAAATATTACATGATTGCCATTACATGAGCTAGTCAAGTGTACAAAGACAGAGATTTAAGCAGTGGTTTCCCTGGCACTGGAGGGCAGGGTTGGGGAAAGAACAAAGAGCTCTTGCTCTGTGGTTAGAGTTTCAGTTTTGCAAGATGGAAAGTGTAGAGATTTGCAGTGAAAGTGCTAACACTGCTGGACTGCATATCTAAAATATTGAAAGATGGTACATCCTGTGTTCTGTATATTTTGTATGATGAAAAAAATTTTAAAAAACAGTGCCACATATATAGAGGATACTCCATCAGTGTGTGCAAAATCCAAGTGGCTTCACTACACCAGTTAACAGTTGGAGGTAGATTTCAAAGGTGAGAATGTCCTGCCAGTGTAACTAAATGTTTAGATTGGAAGTAGGCAGCTCTCATTGAAAGGCAGTGTTGTATTAGTCTATGAAAATAGGATACAGGTTTTTTTAAAAACTCTCTAAGGGTTAAGCAGTTATAAATTTGGGATATATTCTAATTATTTCTACCTTAGGCCCATATGATTATTTTATATTAAATGTAAGGAGTTAGGGACTAAGCCTAGGCATTACTTGAAGCACCCTGTTCCAGGCAGGGAAGGCCAAAATAAGATGGGAGTTGGGCCTGCTTGAGTTTACACTCATTTGGAGCAGAGCTGTCATTGTGAAGCATGCAATTCTCTGTCTCTTTGCTGCCCTCTCGTTCTGCCCCCCTCCTTGTATTCTGCATATACACACACCCCACATCACATTTAATGAAGCATTCATGCATTACAGCAAATGATTGTGCCAAGTGGTTTAAAAAAAAAAAGAGTTTACAAATTAGGAGTGGTATCAAGTCATTTTTGGCAAAAATTTTGGTTTCCAAAAGGTTGTTCCTAAATAGAAAACTCAAATATGTGGAAAGTTCTTTCCTCCACCCCCAAATAAATATTCCAGGTTCTCTTAACAGCACATGCTTCCTAAAAGCTGATTTTGAATTACTCCCCACAATGAACAGTTATAAAAGAGAAACAAAAGCAATAGTTTGTAAAGGAATTTACCTTATAGTCAAAATACAGCCATCCTTTGGGGCATGTTCCATGTTGTTTCGGTGTATTCTTCTCTTTTTCTATGACCCAAAACTCTTTTCTCTTACAAATGCCAGGCATAGAAACTGCACAGTCTTGAATGTCCCAGAGTCCTAGAGGAGCAAATGGGTTGCATATAAGTTTAGAAACAGCACTGACCCGTTTTAGACCCATGCATGAGCCACTCTGGCCACTATTTCTACAACTGCTCTAATTTTTTGATTTTGGCTTTTTAAATTTAGAAGCTGAACTAAACTTTACTGACCATGGAATTCTTCAGTGATAACAGCGAACTAGGCCAGACTCTAAATTAGTAATCCTAAGGTAAGAATGTACAAATTTTGCAACCACTGAACTTAAAATAGCAAAACCGACGGAAGTCATAAGTATATTTGACTTGGATAAATAATTCTTTATGAAGCATTTTTGAATTTTAAAACATTCTGATTCATGGTACAGAGAGAAAAGATTCTAAACCAACGGATGAGGTCCTCCACACAACAAAATGTTTATAACACATAATTTAGGGAAAAAATTGCATCTTCTAAGAAAGTGGTAATATATTCTCAGGTCTTTAGCCTCTTGCCAGCCTTTTTTTGTTGTTTTTTTTTTTGTTTGTTTGTTTGTTTTTACTTTAGAAGAGCTGTATTTTTAGACAGTTACAGTACATATTTCATTAGTATCCAAGTCATAAATTCCAGAACAGCGCAGGATGTGTAGAAATTGCAAGATTCAGTTTCCTAGAATCATGAGTATGATCTAAAAAGATGTTGGCTTTTGAAGGAGGCGCCTGAGTCTAATTTTCAATGCAGATTCTCCTGCTCTCTCAAAACAGCCTTTTCCACAGGCTGTTGTGACACCTGCTGGCAAAAGCAAGCTGATTAACCACATGATTTTTCCTTTCCTAACTTCCTGCAGAGGCCCTTGGACCATGCATAGCCTTGCATCCTTATACCTCTCCTGATTTAGGGTATATGTTGTTTGGTTACAGAGAATGGAATGGGCATAAATGAACAATTCTCTCAAACAACATTGTACAGATGAAGTGGAAAAAAAAAAAAAGCCCACATGCTAGACTGTAGCCTAAATGTGGTTCTAAATACAGCTAGCAATGAATGCTGGGTATTGAAAAGAATGCTAAGTTTAGCCCAAATCTTCATTAAATAACATATGGCAATAGTTTTTATCCAGCAAGTTTTAAACTGGGAGCTAGGAACAGCTTTTGTGTTTGTTTGTTAAAGAGTTTGAGCTTATTTTAGTGCTCTTCTGATTATCGAGGAAGGACTTCTCTGGATCTAGATTAGTTTGAAGAATATAAACGCATGGATTAAACAGAAGAAATGGCCATCTTCAGGGCTTAAACTAATACAATTGAACATAGAACACAGTCAATGGAGAAAACAAAACAAAACCAGCAACCAAATAAATAGAGCCTTCCCACATAACTGATGCACTAAAAGATGCTGAGCCTTCTTGGAGTGAGTGTCTTGCATAACAAACCCCAAGTAGGATCGGCAAAATCACCTGTTATGGAAGAAATGAAGGCGCATCTCTGACTCTGATTATTCATGGATCTTTCTCTTTCTTTGTCCCAGTTCTGGTATATGACTGGTGTCCCATCTCTCCACCTGTGGGAATACAAAATAGTCTAAGTTCTTCTCTCCTTTGCATGCTCTGTCTCCAGTAAGATTCATGGAGCTTTAAGCCATGCACCAGAGTGATACTATTACATGAGATTTAAAAGCACTCATTAATTAACCACACAAGAAAATAAGATGGGGATCTGTTTACTATTAGGAAATGTGAAATGTTTGAAAAAATACATTTACCCTGGTTTACAATATATTCTTGTATCCAAACTTCACATAGTCCCCCATAAATATGTATAATTCCTAAAATTTTTTTAAAATAAAAAGCCACTCATGTGTAGAATAGTAATTATCTATATTGCATACTTAAAACTTTTCTAAAATAGTGAATTTCAAGCTATTTATTCTCATCACAAAAGCAAACACATAAAAAGTGAAGGGGATATGTTTATGATATGTTTATATATAGACTGTGGTGGTGCTTTCTTAGGTAAAGACCTAAAAATGCTCAGGTCTTTAGTTAGGAAAATGAACATTTATAAGTATTTGAATGCTATTTTACAAAATGACCAGTAAGATTTATTGCAATCATTTTGCAAATAAAACATATCAAGCATAATTGAATGCAAATTAGTCCAAGTTCCTACCGCAATTCATCCTTGGCTTCTTCTTCCTGAATTCCTATCCACCAATTTGAACCGAACTTGGAGAGCTGTTAAAGAAAATGAAGTGTCAGTGCTTATTCCACTTGTTTTCCCTTTTCACTACTAATATTGATGGGGTTGCTACTGAAAACTTTCTGTTCCCGAGTATTTTATCTGACGATCTAAGGAAGAGCATGTTGAGAAAACCTGAAACTTCTTTATTCTAAAATATTCCTTCCTCATTTGTAAGGCAAATTGGAATCAAACAATGGCACAGTTTATCCCCAGGCGCTTGGATGTGGCAAGTGGGCAAAGTGGCTGATTAACCCACTGTGCCACAATGACCACCCCCAGATGCCTTTTGTGACTAAACAAGTTGGTGGTTTATCCTCTCAGTTATTTACAGAAGTACACTGCAGCTATCACAACGATTTCAAGACCTGCTCAAGGCAGAAACACTTGAGGAGTATTTGTGATTCTGATTTTTATGTATTGGTTTGATTGTTAAGCTTTAAACAACATTCAAATAGATATAACACAAGATTAAAGAATACTTCAGAATTATCAGGGCTTGAGAACTAGAACCCTTTATGTATTTCATTAACATTACATCATTATTAATCTTTGGGAGTGAAATACCACACATATTCACATACATAAATTAGGGCAGATGTAATATTGGCCTTACCACCCAGGAAATTGAACTGCCCTCTTCAACTATTAAGGGGGAAGTGGCAGGCCGAGTTTCTCTAAGACATCTAAATCAGTATGCTTTACAACACATGTGCGCTCTCTGGATAATGTCTGTGTTAAAATGTAACTTAATTTTTGTATACTAAAGATTTGTTAATTTGGAAGTATTATAAATTTCAGGTTGCACTTTCATTTATTCCATAGAGACTTTAGAATACATTTTAAGATATGTTATCTTTCCTATATGAAGTCTAGGGCATGACACAACACAACCTCTAACACTCTATTCCAACACTCTAACTTATACACAGGTATTTTTGTGCTTTAAATAGCACAGCGTTCAGCCATGTCAGCAATTTGAGAACAAAGCAGGTTGGAAGAACTGTAATTTTGGATCCCTGGGGTATTGTTTCATGGACATGTTCTTACATGCTGAATTTAGATTTTTGTTGTCAGGCTTTGTAATGTGTCCATTCAGATGGACTGTGGACTGAGTGGGAGAACCACCACAGTTTCATACAGTGTAAAGAAATCTTACGTGCACCACTAGTGGAAATCATGGCCTGACTGTTCACTGCCTTGATGAAGGACTGCTAAATGCAAATTGTAACTACTTCCAGTTAAGTGCCAGATTTATTACCACTTCAATTATAGTGTGGTGATCTTCCACATGGCACATCACAGCCCGTTGCAATATGGCACAAATCTTCATAGCACTCAGACTCAAATAGATAGTGGAAAAATGGATGCTGTGGATTTTGACTCAGGTATAAGGCCGCATGATAGAAGGCTTATTAATATGTGTTCATGTAAGAAAGTGATGTGAAGATGCACTTCAGAACATCAGTTGTGTTTTGTTATGTAAACAGCCATTATAGCTAGCATCGTGTGGGACAAACTCACCAAAAAGAGATAAAACACATCAGTCCATATATTAACCTATATCAATTTATTAACGTCTATGAATAATTAATCAATTAATTATGAAATCTAAGGAAGAACAACCTGTCATCTTTTAAATGTTTCTATCAAAACAAGGCAAAACTAAGTTATTTTAAGGCTTGAAAATTCTGTACTTTGGAGGAAGGCTGATATATTTGATATCTATTTTCAGAAATGTTTAAATTATATGAAAAATATAATGGTAAATCTAATTTCATTTACCAAGATGATATACTCAGTGTTGGCTTGTTTATAAGATGTACAGGGGCACCATAAGTACCACCATCACCACTAACAACCCAAAATGCTCCACATGGCCACAAATTGTGCAAAATCAAAATCTTGGGAATCTATGGCTTTCTTCTTTCTAAGTTCATAGCAAGGTAATAGACCAAATGTGTATATTTCTCCTAAGTGTACATATTGAAACCCTAATCCCCAGAATGAAGAATTAGGAATTAAGTGAGGCCTTTGGAGTAGGGAGAAGTAATCAGATCCTCAGGCCAGAGTCCTTGAGAATGGAATTAGTACCCTTATTAAAGGGATTCCAAGAGACCCCTTTCCCTTTTGCCACGTGGGGACATAGTGAAAGGAAAGCTGTATCTCAGCCAGGCAGTGAACCCTTACTAGACACCAAATGGATCAGCACCTAGGTCTTGGGCTTTCACCTCCAAAACTGAGAGAAAATTGTTTCTGTGGCACCCAGACGGTGATTTTCTGCTCTAGTAGCCTGAGTGGACTGACGCATCGCCCTTGCCCTTTCTCAGTTTGTACTTCTTATACTCTCCAATAGTTTTCTTTTGTAGCACAGTGCGTGGTCAGTGGTTTACCTGTAACACTGACAGGGAATTCTACATTAACTTGGTCACAGGCTCAGCCATAATTTTGCCACAAGACACCAGGATGTTTGTTTGATTTGAGTTCAGAGTTCTCAGCTAGATCATGTCACCAGCAAGACTTTTCAAACTGCTAAATCCATGCTGAGTTACCACTCTCTTATAGTAGATGTTAACTCTGTCACCTCCAGTGGCTGTCCATACCCCAAACATGAAGAGGTAAATTGAGAGGAAACATGAAGATAGAACATCTACAAAGGTTCAGAGGAGAGATAAGTGCTGCTGGAAAGATTAAAGAAGCCTTTCATTGTTCATATTGGTGGCCATCTTTTGTGGAAGGATTTTAAAACTAGCATTTTAATGCAAATATTGTGTTCTTAGGTGCCCTGTATCTGAATACAGCTGTTCTGCTGACATAGGCAGCACTGTTCAGGGTTTTTAAATCACCTTCTAAGTCAGAAAGCTTGGCTTCCCCTAAATATCCTAAAACTTAGCTGCTGTGTAATCAAGTTGCTCAAATTTAGAGTCTTGGCCTTCTCATGTATAAAACGAACTAATGATAGACCTCCTACAGAGGGTTTTGGAAAATATTACATGGGTTTAAATGCTAGAAGTTGTCATAGTGCTTAACATGGTAATGGTCAGTATTGGCTAAGTAGCTGCTCTTTTGGGGATGTGCACTTTGCATATTGATAGACTGTCCCCTAGTTACTGCTGCCTAAGGGATGGAGATTGGCATCAGGCTGAAGAAACAATGTATTTCCTTTGATTTGGCTTGAGTGTTAGTTTTGGGCTTGAGTGTTTCATTTGTAGGAGTGGAAGGGTGGAAAACATCTTGCATCTAGACAGCATTCCACCTTACACATCTTAATCTCTGTGGGACAGTGGGATTGCCACCTAACCTCTATGCTTCTCAGCTTTCCCATCAAAACATAGTGGGAGACCTCAGATGCATCAGCCTCATGGGCTGCTTGTGCAACAGACAGCATAGACAGATGATAAAACGCCATGAACTGTAAATGCAAAAATTTATTCTCTGCAACCTCTTGAAGCTTTAGGACTCAGAACTTTATTTGAGCAGTGAACTTACAAAGTTTAAGATTAGTCTTTATCTTAACTTGAAAGCTACTTCCCATTTTCTGTATATACCTTCCACAATTCAGAAGGAAGAAATATTTGAAAATTTAAAACTATTCCCCTACCCTTGTACTGCCAGTCTCTCATATGCCCAATTAAGTGTTATTTTCCTTCATGGCATTTATTTAACTTCTGTTTCTCTAATGTATTCTATAATTCTGCTTACTTGTATTGATTAGGTCTTTCTTTCCAGATTAGACTGTCAGGTGTTGGAGGGCAGGAATTTTTGTCGGTTTTGATCACTGATAGAACTTAATCCCTAGAAGGTTCTTAATAAATATGTGTGGAATGAGCAAAGGAACCTCACAAAATAATAGAACTCCATTTACTCACCATTGTTGCTAACAAAGACTGAAGAGAAGCAAACTGACTAAGCAAGATAGTAAATCTCTGTTATTTTCTTATCTCTATGATAGGAAGAAAATCTTAAGAAAAATCTAGGGCTTATATGCCACCACTTCTCCCCAGGACAGAAGCAGATGCTACATTTTGTATTTTCCCCAATGAATTGCATGCAAATACCGCTCTTATTTTCCTGAGGATGAATTCTTGCTCATGTGCAGAATGAATTGTGAGAATATCACTGCGCAGCCAGCCACAGGCAAACTCAAAGGAGGACCACTCCGAGGGATAGGTTTGGAAAAGGTACTCTGCATCATGATAGAAGAGCCAAGGTGCATCTGACCAAAGAGAAGAAGCAACACAAGTGATGCCAAAACTTGGAGAGGGACAACATGGACTCTAAATAAGGTATGCTAGACTTCAAATAAGATATGCTGTGTTTGATCTGCATTTGTAATTTGTTCCCTCGACATTTTGAAATGTGCACTAAATATTTATCTACACACATATGTAAATATATATTTTTCTCATTTTCCTTGGTCTAAGTCATACTGTAAAGCTTCACTGTTATCTTAACATCAAGGATATATGCATATTTTAAAATCATGGCATGAAAATAGAGGGATTCTGTGCTGCTAGCCTTCAACCATGTTTAATGGCCACTAATTTTTATTATAAAGTTGAACTTAAGTAAAAAGAGACTCGACTGGAGGAATGTAGTAACAGAATAATGGTACATAGGGGCACTTCTATGATATATAGTTAAGAATGTAGTAACTGCAAGAATGGTGCTTACCAAATTGGTACCAGGATGGAATCGTGGGTTTCACATCTGCAAAGTAAAAGCAAACAGCCTTAACTGACCTTTCTTTGTAGGTGCATTGTCCCTGATTTCCTTTAATGGTAGCCACACTTTTTGGTACTCTACTTTTAAAAAACATTTAACAAAAAGCTAGGTACCTGTGCTGTCAGGATAGTATGGTTCCTTCTCATATTGGAGGAGAAGGAACCAGTGAACCTTTGGGTGAAGAAAGGAAGGGTATGAATGTTCTTGAAGGGCTTTGTGGATGGCACACATTACTCATCTTACAAGTCTTACTGTTTGATGCTAAAGTGAAAATGACATTTCCCCCAGACTCTATGTGCACAGTGAAATATTCTTTCATGTTGTCTGGCTCCCTTCATTCCGAAGCAATGAATTTGGGACACTGCACTGGTGTTATCATTTCTCCTTGACCTGTGATCCAATTTTTGCTGATGCGTTGAAATTTACTTCATCATTCAGGTTGTTGGAATTATGTGGTTCAGGGTACTTAGCTTTTAGGTCTGAAAATCTTCAATTTGGCGTACTGTATACTACTGGGAATCAAACAGATGGGAAAGATCTTATTTTTTACCTCTTGGAATTTTGCATATCCATTCACGTTTGGAACCACAGTGCATGGGCAGCAATGTTTTGTTTGCCTTATACACGGCACAGTTTCTTATATCTTCTTCAAAGTAAGTATTGTCTAAAAATGAAGAGACAACCTGCAGCAGATGAAGTTCGTTATTTCTTAATGACGAATCCCCCACAAGAAAATTGCACAAGATCAGAAAGGCAGCCCTGTTTTTAGCCAACATGAACTTCCAGTGGAAGCTTCACAATTCCAATTAGTGAAGAACCAGGTAGTAAATTTTAAGGATTGTTTTGCCTAAAAGTGATTATGCTAGATGCTCCTCCAGAAGGAACAAAACAGATGCATGCTTCATTCTGAACTTGCATTATTTTACTAACTGGCAGGATGTCTAGCTAGAGGATTAAGGGTAAACCTGGAGGCTCAGGGAAATATCACAATTCAGATGTCCATTATTTTACATAGATGTTAAGCTCCCAGTCTGGAATAACTGAACTCTAAGCCATAGCTAGCTTTCTTTAGGAAACTATCCCTTACTTTCCTTAGGTGAGTACATTTCTTACCTCATGTATGCAAACAAGACATTAAAGAATCAGCCTTCTTTACCACTTAATGACTACCTGACATAACAGTGGATGGGTTATAAGCAAAATTGGGACAAAATTGGGGGGGAAAAGAGGATTTAAAAATATTTATTTGCTTAGCTTAAAAAAGGGGGCGTGATGCTATAGCCTGGTGGCTAAATTCTTGCCTTGCACGCACCAAGATCCCATATGAAAACTGGTTCATGTGCCAGCTGTACTACTTCCCATTCAGCTCCCTGCTTGTGGCCTGAGAGAACAGTGGAGGATGGCCCAAAGCCTTGGGACCCTGCACCTACATAGGAGACCTAGAAGAAGCTGCTGGCTCCTGATTTTGGATAAGCTTAGCTCTGTCCATTGCAGCCACTTGGGGAGTGAAGCAGTAGACTGAACATCTTTCTGTCTCTCCTTCTCTTTGTAAATCTGACTTTCCAATAAAAATAAACTCATTTTTTTTTTTTTTAAAAAAAGGCTTATTTATTTAATTTAAAAGGCAAATGTGAGAAGGAAGCTGGGCTGTGCCAGGCTGGAACCAATGGCCTGGAATTCAGTCTGACTTCAACTAATTTAAAAGTTTAAATTGGGGAATGACTTGAGTTTGAATTCAGTTTTGTCAGTGTAGAATAGAGAGGAACTCAGTGTGGGGCAGTGCTTTATGGCTAATCTCATTTAATCTGAACCAAATCGCTCACTCTTACCCTATTGCTAATGAGTTTGTTTTTCTTAAACAAAATGAAGTATTCTCAAGCCCTAGGTATCACTTTTTGTTTTTCAAATGCTACATTGTCAGTAACCACTCAATTCTGCTCTATTGTGGCTGCCATCCATGAGGTAGATTAACTCTGCTGTACCTGTTTCATTTTCTGGTCTTTCGTTTCCTCATCAATGATTTGGGTGAAAGGAATTGAGTGATCTCTAAGATTTCTTCCCACTCTCTATTCTTGAAAGTCTTTCCAAAAATGCTATATTGGAATGAAAATGTTATTCTTCCTTTTTTTATACTAATGTGCTGTTATCAGTATTTTTGTTCCCATTGGGTATATACAGCAGTCTTTATCCATTCATCCATCTCTATATCCTTTCTTGGCCACAGATTTGCAGCCATCTGTGTCCTCTGCTGGTCTTTACTATTTCAAAGTTTGGTTGGCCTTATTTTGCCAAATGGGAGATGCAACATTTTGGCTTTGGAGTCAAATAACCTGTCTGCAAATTTTCACACTCTGATGTATTGTTCTAGACAAAATATTGAATCCCCTTCATTATTACTGTACTGGATTATAATACAGATGAAATGACAGCACACAGCAGTGCATTCAGATCCATGTTAGGAACAGTGAAAGGTCTACGTTTCTAAGAACTGATTCAATCCCCCCTGTCAGCATCAACTAATCCTGGTAGATGAAACAAACTACCTGGATATTTTCGCATGCTCTGTAGGTTGGATCCCATTTAGGTCTGGAATCTGGCATCAGCATTTTTACTGTCACATCGAGGAGCCTATGAGAACTCCTCAATGCATTTAAAGAAAAAAAAATGCAATAGTGAGTTCTCTTTTTTACTGACATTTCCAAGGATGAGGCTAAGTGAAAATGCAAAAAACTTTCTTTTCTTTCTAAAATATTTGCTCTGGCCAGGAAGAAGGTGATATTTCTGAGGCTGCCATCTCTGTCCTTTCAGAGTGAGATAAACTGCTGCTTCTCACTGTGACAAATGATGGTCCCCCAGTGCCAGCAGCCAGGCACTATATTTGAGAGTGAAGCTGGGTTCAAAGAAGTCTGGGGTTGTTTGAAAGTACACCTGCTCCTTTAACTGAGGAACTCTGCTAACATGCAAGATGGTTTGTGGGCAGGTGTTTGAGATTTTCATTCCTTTTCAGGATGAGACTCTAAAGTGTTCTCAGAAGACTGGTTTAGTTCTCCCAAGATCTTTCCAAAATTACTCTTCTGGTGCCAACGTCTGGCATAGTTTTGTTGTAGGAAATATTGTTATTATTTCTAGGTTTTCTGGGCTGGTTCTGGGCCTCTTGGAGTTCATCTCTTCTCTAGTTAGGCAAGACTTACAGGAGTTCTGTCAGACCATTCCCAAGAGCCAGAATTCAGTGGGTTTCTTTTATTAAATCCAATCCAGAACTGCCTTTCTTCTGTCCTAGAGAGAAGACATAAAACACTGTGTTTCCTGTTGAACTCAAACATTATATAATAGTCAAAATAAATGTTAAAGTATTTATGTGTGCAGGAAGGAAGCTGATGCTGCTGGTTAAGGACTGATCAAACCAACAGCTATTTATTGAACATATTTTATGTACAAAATGCTCTGCTACCCAGTGTGTGGGGAGAAAACATAGCCTTCCAATTCTATATCTTTTGGTTTGTGTGGGCTGTTCACTAGTGATGCATAGTTGGTAGACAGTCCACCCATACTGGGAACCTGAGTTTCTAATCAGGAATGGCAATGTCTTTGGATCAAAACAAGAACAAATAAAATCTAATTGGAAAGAGATTTTGGAACAGCTCTTCTTAGATGATTTTTAAAAACTACTTTACTGTGTATTTACTGTATTACCAAACTACTTAATAGTGATTTCATTTGTTCAGTATTCACAGATTTTTCTGAAAGTTAGTCACCACCAACTCTACTTAATAAAGGCTACACAGTGGGGGTTTTCTTGGATCCCAGCACAAATCATTGTACAACAAATCAGCCTGAGCCATGGTAGATTAACCCCAGCAGTCACCATTGGTTTAGAGTTGGCAAGAAGTTCAACAGAGAATCATCTTCCCTCCTATTAGGCAGAGTACAAATATGTCAAGCCACAGAGTACTCAATAAATCAAGCAATAAAGCCTAATTGTACAATGAACTGTCTCGCCAGGATAATTTTCTGAGTATAATTTTGAAGAATTAAAGATTTAAAAGATTCAGAAGTCCTGACAGATGCTTTATTTTCCTTAGTGCAGGAAGCCAGCCTGTTCGGAAGCATCACTGCTCAGATATTGGAGCTCCTCTGCCTGAAAAATACAAATTGAGGTCAGATGCCACATCCAAAATTGGAGCCAACACAGGTCCTTGGTTGGTCACTGTCATGATGACAACTTACACCAAAGGTGGCATAAAGGGACAGTGACCACCTGGAGGTTAAGCCAGGCAGGACAGCGACCACCTGGAGGTTAAGCCAGACACATTAATCTCCATGGGAGAGTGTAAAAACCTCCCATCCAATTTTTTAGTTCTTTCCCCATTGAATTCAAGGCTTTCTATTTTTCCTGCTATATATTGGTTCCTAGATGATGGATTAGAATTTGTTTTCTCTTCATTTCCTAAAGTTGTATAATATTCAGACACACACACACACACACACACACACACACACACACACAATTTAATGGGCTCCCCTGGTATTCCAGGCAAACAGTAACACTTGGTGGCTCCATGGTTAGAAGCTGAAGATTAATCATTTGACAGATGCCTGGCACTAAATACTGATAAAAAGTTCAAGAGTAGAATTTACATTAAAAAGTGACATAATCACATCCAATATTTTTCAATTTTTAGGGCTAAAACTTTTAAAAAGTTAACATTTGACTTTTTAAAAAAGATTATTTTTTAATGGAAAGGCAGATATACGGAGAGGAGGAGAGACAGAGAGCAAGATCTTCTATCTGATGGTTCACTCCCCAAGTGACCGCAACGGCTGGAGCTGAGCCAATCTGAAGCTAGGAGCCAGGAGCTCTTCTGGGTCTCCCCTGTAGGTGCAGGATCCCAAGGCTTTGGGCCATCCTCAACTGCTTTCCCAGTCCACAAGCAGGGAGCTGGATGGGATGCGGGACCACTGGGATTAGAACTGGCAAGGCGAGGACCTTAACCACTGTGCTATCGTGCAGGGCCCAGCATTTTACTTTAAATGCAAATGGGGAAGCAGTTTGCAAGTGATTGTTTGCTACAGCAAACCTAACTGATATTCAAGGGCAAAGTGTGAAGAGCATTTTGCAAGAGGCTAAAGTAATGAAGCCCAATACAGCCTGGAGCTGTGGAGACTCACTATTCCTTGATGTGAGGTCCCGTGGCTGGCTGATAATCCAGTTGAACAGAAGCTTCCTACATGTTCTTTCAGTCTTAGTGTGACTCAGCAGTTTGGTGTGAGTCCAGAGAGTTCTGTATTAATGAGTATGATGTTCAGCCAGCCTCTGCAGCCATTCTCAGGCCAGTGCTTCTAATTGTCACCAATAATTCTGTGAGCAATTAACATGTGTTCTCAAGAAAAGGGATTCATAGTCAGTGAAAATGCTTGCTTCTAAAGGCCTTCATAATGAGAACCTACATGACATTAACAAGATTATACAGCGTATGGTTGCATTTAATCATTCAACTTCTTCTTTACCCCATAGAACACTCTATGAGATCAAGATTAGAACACTCTATGAGATCAAGATCATTTTATATATATTGAAGATGAATAAATTGATAAGTATTATATATTCACCATTTTATAAGAGATTCCTACAAGGACATATATGCAAAAGTCAGTATTTTCTTCATGAAACAGTCTTGCATTATCTCTGGGGTTCAGGCAAGTGTTTTACAGAGAGGGCTTGGCACTGGCTTCCTGGCTTACCTGTGTTTTCATTGGATGAAGGTACGCAGCGTGGAGGCACACTGCCCTTCAGCAAAGACGTCCTCAGGACAGAGTTGTGTCTGTTGTGTGACTGACTGTGTCCCCCCCCAAATGAAAGCTGACTGACAAGAATGTTCTAGAGAAAGAGGCTAAGGGAAGGAACAGCTTACAAAAAGAAGACAGGATGGCTTCTTTGAGTGTAGAGTAGACCAGGTCTGCATTGGCTCTAATTCCAAAATGGTGGGAAGCCAACTTGAGGCTTATGAGCAACTTGAATATTAAAACTACCTTTTGGCTGAGGAATGGGCTTTCTCCCAAGTTATGAGCATTCTGCAACTGGAAGGAATTATGCAGGCACAGAGTGACCATGGGAATGTGCTGGAAGGAATTTCTGCCCTGGGTGGGAGGTATCACAAGACCTTTTAGATTTCTTCCAGTGTAAACTTAATTGAATTTCTAATTCCACAGAGTTAAACATTGTGTAAAATTTCCAGGATGGTTACAGATAACTGAATGCCTGTTTCCTTAAATGTACAATTAAGGGGCTAGATTGGAATTTTTAAAACAATCACTGGGATTCCTCTTTTTACAAACAAAGTTGAACATGACCTCCTATTACATACAAAGCAACACTCCCAAGTTTGGTAGAGGAGCTGACTTGAGGAAGACAAGACTTCAAATGGCAAAATCGTGATCACTTTGGTTCTAGTTTTATAAGATGAGGATGTTGTGTGACACAAATACAAAACTAAATGTGTGTATGTATTTTCTTCCACAACTAATGGTTAGCTGGTTTTAGGCTTATAACAAATACTAGAATTTTAGACAAGTATTGGGGAAACTCACCCCTAGGAAGTTATTACTGGGAGATGGAATATTCAACTGTAATTTTTTAAAAATTAACAAGTACTTACCGATTAAATTTTGAATGTAAAAGCTCATTCACAAAATTCTCTTCCTCAACATGGGCAAAGCTTGCAAGATGAGCTCCAAATTCTTCACAAAATGCTTCAGCTTCTCTCCATGATCTTTTCATCAGGACCTTTTCACTATGAAATACCTGCAGAATTAAAGATTCAACATAAGAGAAGTTTAATTCCTCTGAAGAATTAAATATTTGTCATTTTTTAATTAATACCTTGATTTGGTGAGAGGAAGTAACATTTATTGAGCGAGGATGTGTCTAGTCATGATAAACTATATGCTCATTTTACCTTTGTAATGCATTCATGAGTGTATGCTGAGAACTTCTTCCCCCTAAATCTCTTGTGTCTGCCAAATACTGGCTTTTCAACAAACATACATCTTGAGATGAGGAAAATCAAGCCAAGAGAGGTTACAAATTTTAGGTCTTATAGCTAACACACGGCAGAGCTAGGATTAGATCCAAGATTCCTTGCTTACAGAATCTATGAACTTCCATCCCACCAGTGTGCATTCTGATCAATTAGAATTAGCTGAGCGATCATAGATCTGACTGATCCATGGCAGGGAATGAGAAATGAGACTTAGGACTTAGGACATGTCTCTCTGTAAATCCTGAGGTCTTAGCTGAGCTTGCAAATGTGCTCTGCATAGATTCTCTGCTGTTTCTCAGTTGTTCTCATGGTCACAGGAAGCAGACAGTTGAATGGAAGATCTGCTTTTGGCTTTCAGAAGGCATGAGGGACTGAACAGAACTCCTGATCTTGGGTTTCTGTACATCTCTCTATTTGAACTCCTCAGTATTAAGCCAGCATCTCTGAAGCCAGGCAGGTACACCCTGCAGGCAGCCTTCACAAGCTTTGATTGGCTGAGACTAGAATGCATAGCTTTCTGAATCCTCTGGACCACAACACAGCCTTTCCATCTTTTAAATTATGTGTAAAAGCTCACCTCCTCTGGGAACCTCATCCAGAATCTCTCTAAATTCATAAATCCTATTGCTGTGTGCATCAAGCACACCATGCATTTGTTGACACATCAGGATGACATATTGCAGAAAAAACACTGCACCAGGAGTCCCAAGATCAGGACTTTATTCCAATGTCGTTAACAAATAATTGCGATCTTGAGCAAATCACTTAATCTAACTAACCTCAGTTAATGCGTTTCTAAGGTCTTACTGCTCCGTGAGGTCACTTTTGGACCTGTTACTGTGTAAATTTAGTGTAGGATTCTCCATAGGTGCCCTGAAATGGAGCGCATTCACAGGTGCTCACATCCTCTGTGAGGTGGCATCCTGGCAGGTGTTGAAGTTTGTCCTGACCCTGCTCTGCATGTACCTAGTGCTTTCTCTCAGAACAGCTGAGTCTCTTTAAAATGAACCAAGACAAAACCACCATACAAAACCACATCCTGTTTCAAACAGTATGTTTTTGATAAGATTGCAGAAACTTGCATAAACTTATGTTCTGAAGCTGGTTCACAAACAGACATGTTTTCAAATAATTTTATAAAATGCACACACACACATACACACACATTAACCAATTGAATGAGCCGGTTTGATATTCAGCTTTCTGACAATTTATAAAATCTAACTTTTGTGGTTGAATTGTATTGTTTTATAAGGAAAATTTATTTATAGCTTTGGCTTGGACATCACAGGGAGTCCTATAATCTCAATATCTACTGAGTGTCTTCCTCCTGGGTGAATTGGAATAATCTAGCTTTTCTTTTTCTTGCTTGCAATTCTTGGGGAGAATGCATGGAAAATGAAACATCTTGGCCCAGTATGATAGCCTAGTGGCTAAATCCTTGCCTTGCTTGCATGTGCTGAGATCCCGTATGGATGCTGGCTTGTGTCCCTGCTATTTTGTTCCCTTTCAGCTTTCTGCTTGTGGCCTGGGAGAGCAGTGGAGGATGGCCCAAAGTCTTGGGACCCTGCACTCATGTGGGAAATACAGAAGAAGCTGCTGGCTCCTGACTTTGGATAAGCTTATCTATGGCCATTGTGGCCACTTAGGGAGTGAACTGTGAGTGAAGGATCTTTCTGTCTCTCCTCTCTGTAGAGCTGCCTTTCCAAAATAAATAAATACATCTTACAAAATAGGAACGTCCTGAGACTGGAGAGTCTGTTTCCTTTTTCCTCCTAGAGTGGGATGTGCCACCACACTTGAACTTGGTAACCCAAGGGGTTTCTGAGTAATCCAGAGCTTTCAGCCTCTTGGACTGAGGTACACATGGAGCCTAGAATGAGAGACTCCATCTGCTCCAGGCAACTTTCCTGGGTTTTTGGGGACTGGCTCCCTGAGGACCTTGGTTTTTCTGTTTCTTCCTATAGCCCATAACCAAATGACAATGTTGTCCTGTCTGACTTGTGTGAGAGCTGTAACTACTCTCATACTGTGGCAGATGAGATGGAACCAAAACTTCAGGCAGAAACAGGAATCTTTGAAGGAATTGGTTAAGAATTTAAGAGGCACCACCCCAGGGTTTGATAAGCAGTACATTGGGCTGTACTTGTGTTTGGTGTTTCTGTTTAGCAGATATCAGTAGCCATGGGGAGACCTTTACTATCACCAGGGATATGCCAATTTTTGACTCACACGTTATTTGGAAGAAGTGAAAGGACTGAGTAGGCAACAAATATTAATTAAGCATCTACTATGTGCCAGACACTGTTTTGCAAAAAAAGGTGCTAGGATAAGGGAACTTGGAATATAACAGTTAGTAAATAAGACTAGTGCTGTTGAGGATGCCTAAGTAACCCTAGTGTTACCTTGAAGCAACTGGCCAGACCAGGCCGTGACTCCCAATCCATAAAGCAGGGGTGAAAGGGCCATCTTTCTTCATGTTTGTTTTTCTTCCAAGTTTTCACTGGCTGCTTGCACAGAGACATGGCCTTAAAGTGTCTACAGTCCTTTACTTCCCAGTGTCCAGCTGGATTCTTTCCTCGAATGGCCACACAACCACCACTATATTCTGAAAACAAAACACAAACACTCCAACTGCTGGCCAACTGTACTCAGAGGCAGTTCACTCATAGTCATTTCTTAATGAAACATCCAGGCAAGAACAATGGAGATGAAAAGGGATGCCTTATTGGTATGATTATCTCATTTCTCTTCATTTTCTGAGAAAAGGATAGAAGATGGAAATGTATAAAAAGAGTCTGTGACCCTGGAATTTGGATGTTGTTTATGCTCAGATGGCAAATGATGGAAATTCAGGTGCTGTCCCCACACCAAACCAAAGCTTCCTCTACAACTCCACGCTAGACTTCCAAGTCCCATTGTGAAAAACCAGCAATGAAAAGTGCAGAGTGTTCATCCACTGACAGCCACATTCAATGAGGAATATTCAGTGGGGAGGGGAAACGAGAGAGAAAGGGAGAGAGAGAAAGAGAGACAGAGAAGAATTAAAAGACAAGCAAAAGTACAGTTTTTTTTCCCAGCATCTTTATAATTTATCTGAAATATTGGGGAAGGTGATAGATTGTTTAATAATGGGAAGATTCCATTCTTTTGTGTTTGTTTGTATGTTTTGGAACATTGAGTACATTTTTACATAAAAATAACTAATGAATTGAGTTAAGATCCTCAAGTTTGTCAGTGAGTTAAGATCCTCAAGTTTGTCAGTCAAATCTGTGTGACTCATAAGATGGTATAAAAACACACTCCAAATTTCAGTGAAGCACAGTAGGAAACAGCCCTCTGTAGACAACAGAAAAAAAATATGGAGAAAAGAATGCATTTATGTCTTGAATCCAGGATGGTTATTCCATTAGGTAATCCAACATTTGGCAACAACAAAAAATTATACTTCTTCAATGCATCTAGCCAGTGTCTGTAGAGGACAAAGTAAACAAAATCAGAAACAACTCTCAAATCGCCAGTCGTCAACAAGGAAGCCCATCAGTAAGGCTGATTTGGAAGAGCAGGATGGTCTGTACAAAGGCCATCAGATGGCTCCATTAGTCCAGAACAGCTAATTATTGCTACAGATGGAAGGTTGGAGGCGAGTAAGGGCTGGGGGAAGTTTGCAGTATGCAGTTGCTTTTGCTGTGAATGGAGTGTTGCAAGCTTATATAGAACATGTGAATGCATCTCACAACCTAGCTTAGTCATGAACGAAAGAGGAAATGATGCCATCTCTGTGAAATGGAATTAAACTGTGCAAATCCACATGGAAGTCCAACGTGTCCTATGATCATGGAGATGTTCCATTTGGAAGAGGAAGCAAAACATGTACTCCCTCAAGTCCCCTGTCCTTTTTTTGAGCTGCCATATTTGGATCTCCTACTAGTGCACAGCCCAGGTGGGAACTCTGCAGGGTTCTAGGCCAAGTTCAAATATCTAGTAAATTGAACGTAGAGCAGGTTAATGAATCACAGTAAGCCTTGTCTAAAATATGGGGCTACTAATTCCCTATTCACATACATTTCATGATGATCAAATGAAATGATGTATAGAAAAGCACTCTATAAGACATAAAGAGCTTAAAGAAATACCCTGAAGAAGTTGCTATGATTCTTATTACAGCCATTTTCATTACAAGAATGAGGACTTTGTGGCCTGAGTTCTGCCCGCCTGCATGTTCCCCAATTTTTTTTAAAAGCTTGAATCAGCAAGTTTAAGATGTAATATGCTTTTTTTTATTGGTCTTGCAGTTTATTTCACTTTCTCACATCAGACAGTGATTAACTAGCCTTGGTTTTTGACACTATAGATATTCAACTCATCTTCATTAGTGAAGAAGGAGATGTTTGTGAATGACTAGGAAGATGAAAAGTGCTGCAAGAGTGTTATTGGTATTCTAGCGTGGTTAACTTAATGAAACATTTGACCCAAATTTTACAATCCCAGCCCCAAAGAAGCAGTAAAGTGGTGTGATAAAGGAAGGCCAGGCTAAGAGACATATAAACTGAATTTATAAGCCTATGTCATGGGGAAGCTTGCAGAGCCAAACACAAGGGCCATGTGTTTTCCTCCCAGGGAAATTGCTCTTGCATTTGACAACTCACTGCCCATTGGAGAAGAAAACCTATCAGCTTTTTCTCAGTGGCAAATTTCACAGTTCACCAAATTCTCCTTGCCATCTTACCTCTAGTCCTCTTCACTGTTTGCCTCAAAGTTGAATGGGAAAACTTTCTGTCAACTGAGAAATTTTAATTCAGCATGTTAATCTCTTCCATTCAATGACAAAGCTATCTAATCATTACTAATGGGCTGAGTTGGGCAAGCCTCCACCTTTTACCTTTCTGGCAAAATACCTAAACACAAACCAAACACTACGGTCCACCTGCGGCCTCAGAGTGGAGGAATCCACACAGGGCCCTCAGTGCTTCTGGAAAATGATTTTTTGCCCCATTCCTTGCCACAGCCCTCTCACATCCACATCTCACATCTACCTTCCCCAGCCCCTGTTGTCTTCTTCCTTTTCTGCTTTCCCACAGAAAGAAAAACAACCCTTCAGGCAGGGAAGGTGAGCATTCATGAAGCACTGTGTGTCTGCTTTGCCCTTTGCTAGGTGCTTCGTAATAATCTTTGCCCTGTTTCACAGTATAGGCTCTTCAAGGCAGGTACTGGTATCTGAGTTTCGCACAGGAACCAACTGAGGCATGAAGGTTTGGTGACTTCCTCAGGGACACACAGTTAGCGGGCTTTGAGCCAGGATTTGCAGTCAGATTTCTGTGAGATATGACATCAAAGCCCAGAGCAGAAGGACTTTCAATAAAGCAACACTTTAGTGAATGAATGAACTTCCCTCAGATGATGCTCCTCCTTCTCCATGGGGCTCTCTGTCATTCCCCTGGTCATGTCTCTTGCCCTCATGTGATAACTGATTTCCCTTGAAGATCTGTCATATTTTTCTCTTGGATGGTAGCCACCTATATGATTAGGAAAAGATGAGGAAATGTCCAAGAGTTCCTCAGAAACAGGACTGGGTTTTTCTCCGTTTGGATAGTGGCTCATCTCGGAATTCCAACGAGCCTTAAAATGGATGGGCCGTTCTAGTTCTGTTTGCTGACTTTAAAGACTTGTTATCCCTCACTATGTGTAGGATATTTCTGAGAAAACAAATCTGAGTGAGCGCATGCTCTAGTGATTAAGATGCCTATGCCCCACATCTGAGTGCCAGAATCAGTGCCTGTTTCCTATCTCCTGACTTCAGTTTCCTATTAATGCAGGTTCTGGGAGAGGGAAGTGAGAGCCAAAGTAGTTGATAACCTGATAGTTGTGTGGGACTTGGATTGAGTTCCTGGATTCAGATCTGGATATTGTGGGCATATGGGAAGCAAACCAACAGTTGGGAATTCTCTCTCTCTGTTTTTATTGCTATCTCTCTGTGCTTATTCTCAAGTTAAAAAAAAAAAACAAGATTAAAAACAAATAGGATTTGCTGTAGTGGAATCTGATTTTCCTTGCCAGTGGTAGATTCCCACTGAATTGGAACATTTTGGGACAAATGTGTCCTGGAATCATCCCACGGGAGTGAAGTAACTACCTTCTATAGAGGAATCAGATCTAGAACTTTTGTCACAATGTCTTAGACAATGATGGCTATCAACTGGAGATCCCAAATATTTCTTTTTAGACACATACAGAGCTCTAATATGACCGGGAGTGACATTTTTGAATGTCATGACAAGTATGGACTTAATTGTTTCTTTTCCCACAGAATAGTGTCCATTTACATCAAATCTTTAATCTAAGTACAACTCACATTTTAGTTTTCATATATGTGAAGCTAACTTACTCTCCTTCCCTTTAACTGGTGGCAATAGTTAACATGGATCAAAATAGTTTTTTTTTCCTGTTTCATCTGAAGTTTTACTTTTCTTAAAACACCAAGGGCCAGAGTCCCTTTTATTGCTCCTTTTAACAGAAATAGTAGAATTCCAGGGTGTTTGGAGAAATTTGGGTGTGAAAGAAAGGATATGCATATAAAAACTCAGAAAGTATTACACACATACACACACACACACACACACACACACACACACACACACACTCCAAAATGCCTTAGATAGAAACAATAACAAACCTACAAGGAACACTGAATGCCCTAAACATGATACTGAAGTGATGCCACCTCCCACCAAAGGACCCGAGGGTCCTCCATGGAGTGCAAGTCTCTACAGCTAGAGAACATTGTCACAGTTTGTCCCACTCGAGGGCACCAACATAGTCAAGCACTACTGGTATCCTTAAAGGGACCAAGGAAGTAGTCCTCGAAGTGATCCCCATCAAAAGGTGGGGTAATTTTAGCATTAAAAAAAGTAACTGCAGTGAGCTAAAATATACCCAAAGTATCTAACATCCTTAATTCCTATAATGTTAAACTGAAGCTTTAATTATTTGCAGTTAAAGAATGAAACTGGGTGGGGGGAGCATTAATTCTGAAAACTAGCAAAAAGAAAGACTTCATATTTTCTATTGTTTTTCCAGTAAAAATCATGCTACAGGGTAACTAAAACACGATTTGAGGGAAATTGCTTATTTGTAGAAATATAAATGAAGCTGTAGAGCTCTGAATAAAGAAGCACCAAATGCATCAGTGGGCCCAGGCAAGGAGCATCAGAGGCTGCTCTCCAATACTACAGGCTAGAGAAAACAGACGTGTGCTTCCAGGCAGAACACAAAATTACCTAAGACATCTTCCTCTAAAAGAATTATAATCTGAATTGGATCAGGCCCTGGACTGTTTTTTTAAAGTATCAATTTTGTGGAAAATAAAAAGCGTGAAGTAATATATTAAAAAATGTGATGGGAACATAATCAATAAAACCTAGACTTTAGGAATAATTAGCAATATTTATTGATATGAGCCATTTGCATCAACAAATACATTTTAGGAAAAAAAATAAAAGATGAGGGTAGGGTAGCAATTACAGTGGACTTTAGGAGATAGCTGAATCAGTTGCAATATGGGAACCTTATCTGCATCTTGATTCAAACAATATGGAAAAGTATATAGCA